ATCTTCCCTGTTGCTGGTGGGGCAACAGCACCAAGCCCAGGACAAGGTGTTGTGAGGGCAGCATCAATTAGTCACACCACAGCTCTTTAGTGCCAGGAGCCCTGTCACTTCCACATCCTCAGCACCACTGAGGGTCTCTTTGTGCCAGCACAGGTCATAGTGATAGGGGCATTGCCAGGGACCTTCTGGTGAAATTAGCTATAGGCACTGCTACCCCCAGAGCAGGTCATCTTGACAGTTTCTCCCACACTGGCTGACAAGGAGGACAGCTGACTCATTGATGATGCTCCAGGGAACTTGAAGAGGAAGAAAAGAGAGGGGAGAAGAGTGGGGGTCAGCCCCACAGTTCTCTCCTGGGTAGTTGGAGGGGGAATGCTGCAGTCAGATGAGAATGGATGCAACCACAACCAGAGGGAAATTTGGGGAGCAGAGCCCATTCCCAGCACAGAGGCAGGACATGGTCAGTGAGAGCAAGAGACAGAAGGCTGGGGGACAAAGGAACCCTATGAGACTAGTAGGGAACAGGACTGGTCCATAGACACAAAGTCATCTACAGTGCTCCAGGACACAAAAGTGGGCACATTCACTGTCATGGTCATACAGAGGAGACAAAAACCTGCACAAAAACCTCCCTCGTGCACAACTCTACTTGGCCATGAGAAGGACAGAAAAAATGCATTTTTTACTCTTTCATACCTCATTTCCACATCTCTCTGTGTCACAATACCAGCATCACTGCTGTCGTCCAAGCCACCACAGAAATAGACAGCCTCGTCCTCAGCTTGGACCCCAGTGATGGTTAATGTGCCCGAGGTGCTGGATGCGGATCCGGAGAATCGCGAAGGGATGTTCGAGGGTCTCTGGTCATTTTTGCAGATCACAGTGACAGGGGCACTGCCAGGGACCTTCTGCTGGTACCAGCCATAGTAGCCATTGCCACTACCAGAGCAGGTGATCTTGACGGTTTCTGCTGGGTAGGATGACACCAAGGAAGGCAGACTTACGGATGAGGTCTGGACTAGCAAACCTGGAGAGGAAAAATGGAGAAGGGAGAAGACACAGATCAGACAGCACCCATTTAGCATAGCCAACTCCCAGGCAGTGGGAAGGGCAGTGCCACAGTCAGAGGAGAATGGATGCAACCACTGACACGGGGAAACTTGAAGAACAGAGGCGAGTCCAAGGCATCCCAGCACAGAGACAGCTCTGGGAGTATTAGGAGGACGTGGTCATCAGTAGCAAGAAAGAGTGGGGTCAGGGACAGAGCCACACTATCAATTTTGCAGGGACCAGGACAATGGTCTACAGACAAAAATTCACCTCCAGGGCCCTAGGAAACAAAAGGGGGATTATACAGAGCCAGTCATGCAGAGGAGACAAAAACCTGACCGAGCCCCACATTCACAACCAGGCCTGGCCAGAAGAAGGATGGAAAAATTCCATTTTTAATTCTGCTTTACATGACTTGAAAATCTTTGTCACTATACCAGCAGGAATGCTGCTGTCGTAGCCACCACAGAAATAGACAGCCTCGTCCTCGGCTTGGACCCCAGTGATGGTTAATGTGCCCGTGGAGCCGGATGCGGATCCGGAGAATCGCGAAGGGATGTCTGAGGGTCTCTTGGTGTTTTGATAGATCACAGTGACAGGGGCACTGCCAGGGACCAGCCAGCATAAGCCCAGCTGCTGCTGCTACCCCCAGAGCAGGTGATCTTGACAGTGTCTCCCACCTTGTGAGACAATGAGGACGGCTGAGTCAGCGCTGCCTGGACCAGGGAACTCGGACAGGAAAAGGAGAGAGAAGACAAGGGTCAGTCAGTGCACCAGCAGCACAGCCCTCCCTGGGCAGGGGACCACTGTGCCCAAAGGCCCCATCCAGGCACAGCGAGTCTGGCCTTGGCACCTGAGGTGTGGGCGAGCAGCGCGAGGAGGAGAGGGACCCAGGCCATGGTGTGATCCCACCAGCTCCGTGTCCCCACGATGATGGGGCTGTGCTGTGGACCCTGACTAACATTTAAGCCCCCACCTGCCCAGGCACAGCCCCTCCATGGATATGTGGCCATCAGTGTTCCCCGGAGCTCTTGTCCCAGTGCTCCCCATGCCCACTGTGGGCACCTCTGGACCACCAAAAGGCAGCACAATCACTCTGGGTTGCCTGCTCCTTCCCCAGCACTGCTGCTGAGCTCTCAGCTCAGCCAAGGACCACCCAGTCCATGTTCCTACTCAGCTGGACCATGGCCTGGCTGCACCAGGAACTCCTGTCACAGGGCAGGGGACAGCCCCACCTGGCACAGGGACACATCCACCTGCCCTGCAGCACCCAAGCCTGCTTGCTGCTTCCTGGTCCCCGGCTGGCCACGTTACCTGAGCACTGACCAGCAGCAGTGACAGAGGAGCTGGGCAAACCACGTTCTGCTTCAAACGAGGTGCCACACTGGGCCTCTCTTAATTGTCACAGGGGAACCTCCAAGCAGGGAAGTGGGGTTGTGAAAGGACACTGGAACCACACCAAGATCAGGAGCTTCAAGGCTACCCAACAGGAAGGAAACACAAGCCTCCAGGTCCTCCAAATTCAAAGCAAGATGGGGGTTTCCAGTGGCTTCCCAACAACCATGAGTAGACTTTGGTTGGAATTCACATTTATCAACTGCCCATAGCATCCTCCCACTCTTGTCCAGCCTGGGGCAGCTCCAAGGAAATTTGGGGAGCAGAGCCCAGCCCAACGCATCCCAGCAGATAGGCAGCTCTGGCAGCAGGGAGAGGACATGGTTGTCACTAGCAAGAGACAAAGGGGTGAGGGATGAAGACACATCATGATTTTAGTAGGGACCAGGACATAGACAAAAACTCACCACCAGTGGTCTAGGACACAAAAGGAGGAACATTCATATCAATGGTCATGAAGAGGAGACAAAAACCTGCACCAGTCCCACATCCAAAACTCTGCCTGGCCATGGAAAAGACATAAAAGCTCTATTTTTAATTCTTCTGTACCTGATTTCAAAAATCTTTCTTTGTCTCTATACCAGCATCACTGCTGCTCTCCCAGCTACCACAGAAATAGCCAGCCTTGTCCTCGGCTTGGACCCCAGTGATGGTTAATGTGCCCGTGGAGCCAGACAAGGATCCAGAGAATTGTGAAGGGATGTCTGAGGGTCTCTTGTCATTGAGATAGATCACGGTGACAGGGGCACTGCCAGGGACTTTCTGCTGGTGCCAGGCATAGTAGTCATGGCTACCCCCAGAGCAGGTGATCTTCACGGTGTCTCCCAGGTTGGCTGACAGCGAGGATGGCTGACTCAGTGATGCTGGACCAGGGAATCGGACAGGGAGAGGAAAGACAGGAGCAAAGGTGGGTCACCCAGTGTCCTGGGAGCACAGAACTGCCTGGACAAGGTTACAGGGAATGCCATAGCCAGACAACAGACATGGATATGGTCACATGGGGAACAGAGCACAACCCAGTGCATCCCAGCACAGAGACAGCTCTGGCAGCAGCAACAGGAGTTGGTTATCAGTAGCAAGGAGCAGATGGGTGAGGGACAAAGCAAGACCCTGAGTTTTGTAGGAACCAGGACAATGGTGTCCCCAGCCAGAAAGTCACTCCTGTTCTCTGGGATACCAAGGAGAGGATATTTCTCACCATGGCTGGGCAGAGGTGACAGGAACCTGCCTCAGCCCCACAGCCAGACAGGAGAGAGAGGGACCAAAATCTTTCCTCTGATTTTGGGTTCTATCTCACTTCCTGCTACTCATTGTCAAAAGACACCATAGCTGCTGCCACTGCTGCTGTCCCTGCCACCACAGAAATAGACAGCCTCGTCCTCGGCTTGGACCCCAGTGATGGTTAATGTGCCCGTGTTGCCAGATGTGGATCCGGAGAATCGCGAAGGGATGTCCGAGGGTCTGTTGGTGTTATCGTAGATCACAGTGACAGGGGCACTGCCAGGGACCTTCTGCTGGTACCAGCCAGCATAAGGCCAACTGCTGCCAATCATGGAGCAGGTGATCTTGGCACTGAAACTGAGAACAGCTGACTCAGCAATGCTGCATGGACCAGGGAATGTGAGGAGGGAGAGAAGACAAAGATCAGTCAGTGCCTCAGGAGCACAAGTTTCCCAGAGCAGACAGCTGGGATCCCTGGGCCCAAAGGCCCCATTGGGGCACAGCAAGTCTGGCCACGGCACCTGAGATGTGGGTGATCACCACAAGGAAAGAGACCCAGGCAATTCCACCAGCTCCATATCCTCGCACTGACGGGGCTGTGCTGTGGACCCCAACATCCTCTTAAGTGCCTACCTAGCCAGCACAGCCACTTCCATGGGAATGTGACCCTCAGTGTTCCCTGACTGCTCCTGTCCCACGGCTGTCCCTGTCTCTTGCCCACCACCAGGCCACTTCCTTCCTGGGCCACTCAGCTGGGAAAAACACATCCTGCTTCACACCAAGCTTCTCTCAGGAGCCACAAGACTACAACCAGCTGAATCCTGGTATCTGGGCAAAGGCCCCTCAACCTTTGCCGAGACCCACGTTAAGGGATGGCAGGAACACTTTTCTACCCCACCTTGTCGATGCACCCTCTGCAATCACCTCCTCCCTATGATCCTGGCCTCACCCACTCCCCAAGCACCTCTGCAGCAGCACAGCTCCTCCAGCCACTCCCCTTCCCACGCAGGTGCTTGTCCGCAGGGCTCCGCTCCCACAGCTGGCCCAGCCCCAGCCCACTGCCCCACAGAGCACACGCTGCCCCCAGCACACCCTGCTGCAGACACTGCTCTGGCACTGCTGACGCTGCTGCTTCCCAGCACCACCACAGGAGACAAAAGTGCCCTGCCTCCTGAGCCTCTGGAGCACAAGGGCAAGTGCCCAGCCTGCCCAGCTCCACACAGCTCTCCACACCACCCTTCCCAGACCTGCCTCTGTCCCCTCACACCCAGTTCCTGCTTCCCCTCACCTTTTACAAGCATAATGAACAGGATTTAGACATATGAAGACAAGGATTTATTATTCTATGTTTGTTCTACAGAAGTTCAATGCCCAGCTACCACCACCCTCTCTGACTCCTGTAGGCCAGGAACACAAGCAGCTCCTCCTTAGACACAGGATTTTCCTCACAGGCTTCTTTCTCTTCATCAGCTGTGTCTTCTGCTTCAAGTTCTGGTTGGGAACCAAGACAAACAGTTCATCAGCAGTAAAGTCTCACAGCTGCTTTACAGCCCAGCTCAGTGCAGCACCACACCATGGCCTGCTGCTCCTGAACGGGGAAGGGAAGGGGTGAAAGGCAGCGAGAAGTCCTCAAGGAGCTTTGAACATGATTCAGTACTTCTTGAACTCGATTCTTTCTACTTTCACATCATCCTCAATTAGCTGGTAAACATAAGTCACAGCAGTGGAAGCCTGGATATCCATCAGCACAAATGAAGGGGTGATGTTCCTGGAAAGAAGACATCCTTTGTAATCTTCTCAATCAGCTTATATCTCTTGCTATTAATACCCCTTATGTTTATGTGTTCTCATATACTTTATTGCCCAGGGACATGGGAAACTCTGCAGGGTCTGCAGGCACTGATAAAATGTCTCAGACAGAGCTGCACTTAACATAGAACAGCCCAAACTGTGTCAGGCTCAGCATTTCAGCTGACAGGCCCCGCTGGATTCCCCAGGGAGCAATCCAGCCTCCTGCTCCTCACAGCACCTCACCAGCTCTCTGCAGCACGGTGGTGAGACACACACTCATTTCAGGTAACACCCACAGGCTCTGCTGTGCTGGGCAGCTCAGGGCTGCCCTCACTCACCTTTCTAAAGCACTGTAGGCTCCTGTAGCTGATCCCGGGTTGATGTAGAATTTTTTTTCATATTCAAATGCTTCAAACCTGTGTGTGTGTCCCGAGATGAGAATGTCCACATCCAGCTGCCTCTGCAGCAGTGCCAGGCTGGCTGCATCACCCCAGGGGATTACTTGATGGCCATGAATCAGCCCGATTCTGAACTGCCCAACAGTTACAACCTTCTTTTCAGGATAATTCAGGCCCTGAGGAGAAAGGTACAGCCTATAAGTCAGTCAAGGACCCCTCATTTATGCAATGCACTCTCCAAGAAATGAACCTGCCCTTCGCTATTCAGGCACACAAGGTCTCTCTCAACATGCAGACCCCACTGGATGCTTGTAACACACCCCAGCAAGAGCAACTTCAGAGCAAAGAGTAAGGAATTGGCACAGAGAGGGGGTGACTAACTGGGTACCTAACTGTAAATAATTACACACACGGAATTCCTGCAGCTACACGGCCAGATGGGGCACTGTGGCCTCAGCAATCACAGACCTGTGCCCGAGCTCATATGAACCAGGTGCGTGTTTTACCCCCTCACACCCAGGCCCTCCTGTTGCAGGTACAACCAGAAAGGTCTAGAAAATAATTTTGTTTCTTCACTCTTACTCATTCCTACTCCTTATTCAGGTGAATTAGAGTTCAGGAGTTGGTCAGTGCCGAGGGAGTCCCCAGGACTCAGAGAGACAACCAAGGCAGGAAGGCAGGCTGAGGAACTCATGTTACCTCCGAGTCCCCCCTAACGACGTGGATATCCCCAGCCAGGGTCCTGAGGTAGTCATAGGTCTCCTTGGTGCAGAGGTTTCCCGTGCACAGGATGTGCTGAATCCTTCCTGGAACCAGCAGCTCCTTGAACTTGCCGGGCAGAGCACTGCACCGGTGCGGGATGTGAAGGTCCCCCAGCACCAACACCAACTCCAAACGCACCGGGGGGAAAGAGAGAGCCTTAACCCGGGTTACTTAACAGAACAGCACAAAAACAGAATACCGCAAAACCCTGCTGCCTTCCTTTCCGAGTCAGCTCTGATGAAACACCCCCTCGCTCGCCCAAGCCTCCCCGGACAGACAGCCCAGCCGGCAGCGCCGGGAGCACTCGCTCCGCACGCAGCCGGAGGGAGGTAACGTGGTGCCTGGGGGAGGCTGAGGACGCCACCGCCCCGGGCTGAACCCACGGGCAGGGAAGCAGCGCAGGGGCCCACCCCGCCTCTCACCATCCTGCCCCGCTGCCCTGACGCGCACTGAGGTAACCAGGAAGTAACGCGACCGGTTTTGTGCTGCCCTGAGCCAATGGCAGCGCCAGCAGCTCCCACGTGACATCAGCGCCTGCCGCAGGGTCCTAACGCCCGCCGCTGTGCGCGGTGAGCATGCGCAGTGCGGCCACCCTCTGTTGGGAATGAGTTCTGTGGTTTTTTGTGGGAAAATCCTTCATCTCTCTGTGTGAAAACGGCCTTGTGAAGGACCCGCGGTGCCCACACCTGTCCCTTTCCCCTCAGGAGCTGTGGTGGGCCGTGAGGGAAGTGGGCAGTGTGGGCGGAGGTCTCAGGGATAAGGGGCTGCTCCAGGGGTGGCTGAGGGCTCCATCCGGCCCAAGGGGTGGCTGAGGGCTCCATGGAGCCCAAGGGGTGGCTGAGGGCTCCATCCGGCCCAAGGGGTGGGTGAGGGCTCCGTCCGGCCCAAGGGGTGGCTGAGGGCTCCATCCGGCCCAAGGGGTGGCTGAGGGTTCCATCGAGCCCAGGGGGTGGCTGAGGGCTCCGTCCGGCCCAAGGGATCCCACCAAGGGCCGAAGCTCTCCCTCCCGACTCAGTCCCCTGGGGCCACCCCGTGGGGGTGACCCCACACACCACACGAGCCCTGTGGGTAAGGATTAACCTTTATTACCAGGTGAGCCAAACTGTGCGGAAGCCCAGGCCGGATCAAGGCTGCCGAGTGCTGGGAGAGCCCAGGAAAGCCGGGCTGCAGCAGAGCCATCCATCCATCGTCCTGCTGCAACAGGAGTCCCTGGCAGGTCTGGCACCGTCTGGCTCTCCAGTGCTCCGTGGGGGAAGTTTGGGTTCGAAGAGGAGGTTGCTGCACTTCCCAGCACGAGGCAGCGCTGCTGGGCCTGCTCAAGCGTGAGAGGAGGTCTTTTTCCACCCCTCCCAGGGCCGCTGCTCTCCCTGTTGAGGGCTTTATATCGGGGTCGCAGAAAGGGCACGGAGAGCTTTTGTTCCCCACTTCTAAAACCACTGGAAGGCAGGAGTCAGGGCGCAGTAGTAGGTGCCGTTGTCCTCCTGGCGGGCGGAGGCGATGGTGAGGATGCAGGTGTTGCTGGCAAGGTCCTTGGTAGCAGAGAAGCGGTCGGGAGTCTCGTCAGGCTTGTGCATTTCTCGCTCGGAGTTGTAATAGAGCAGATACCTCAGGGCGTGCCCCGGGCGCTCCTGGAACCAGGAGATGCCGAACTCGGTGATGTTGTACTGGGGGCTCAGGGTGCAGAACAGCCGGGCCGTCTGTCCGGGCAGCACGAACAGGGAGGACGGCTGGGTCAGCACGGGCTGAGCCCTGCAAGCTGCACGCAGCAAGGATGCAGTTACTGATGAGCTGAGCCATGCCCCCCATCACCCTCAGCCCCTTTGAGGCAACCCCATTACTCAACCACCATCCTGCTTATCACCCCACAGAGCCCTGGAGCAAAATGCCCCGCTCAGACTGACATCCCCTTGGACAGCCCATCCTGCTCATCACCCTGCAGTGCCCCCCCAGACAGCAGCTAACTCTGCCACCCCACCCTTACCTGTGCCCACCATCCCCACCAGGAGCAGGACCAGGAAGCCCGAGGCCATGGCAGGAAGCAGAGGAAGGGAGGCTGTTTTGGAAAGGGTCTGTGGTGCTACAGGAACCCAGGTCACTGTGCTGATGGCACGGTGGGGTGTATGTAAATGACACAGGGGGCTCGGGGACTCAGCTCCCCAGGGCTGCTCGCTCTGCTGCAGCTGGGCTTCAGGGAGGAGGGGAGAGCTGACAACTGCGACCCAGTGCCCTCCTTCACCCCAGGCCAGGCCATTTCCTCCTGCTGTGCCCACAGCCAAACCCACCACCCTCTGTCCTGGGCACTGGGGAGGCATCACTGACCATCTCTCCTCACTGATAGGGAGAGCACAGGGGTTTCCCTGGGCTGTCACACTGTTTGCCTCAGGCCCTCTGCCACCAGGTGCACAGGAGGCCAGGAACCTGATCCACATCATGCCAAGGGTGTCCTGTGGAGGCAGCAGGCTGGGGGCCAGGTGGCCCTGCTGCCACCATGGAGAACGAAAGACAGGCTGTACCAGAGTTCCCTGGCAGCCATCTCATTGTAGAAGCAGCACAAGGAAAGTTGCTGCTCCCTTCCCCCTGCAGCTCCACTGCTGTGATTTCTCAGCCTACAGTCCAGGCTGGGAGCTGCTGATGGTGCTGCCTCTTTGCCAGGGCCAGCTCAGGAGCAGCAGCCCTGGGCAAACACAGTGGGGTGGCTGCCAAAGCCACGGGTCAGAAGGCATCTCCCGAGGGAGCGCTGCAGTGAGAGGTGGCTGCAGCACAGCAGGTGCTGTGCGGAAGGACAGTGGACTGTTACAGCCAAAGGCCACCAGCTCAGCAGGCGTGAAGCCCCTCCTGTCTGTGACACCCACTGCAGAGCCCAGAGACACCATGTCACACACCATGTCACACACCATGTCACACACCACCAGCCCATGACTGTCCTTTGCAGCAGAGTGATCAGCAAGCACTCGGCAGTGTCCTGTAACTGATGGGTGCCCTTCACAGGCAGGCTCAGACCCCACCCAGTGCCACCACATCACCACCCAGGGATGGCCCACTCCCTCCCCTCTGCAGCACTCAGCCCTGCTCCTGAGGGGTCCCCAAGCCAAAGATACTTGCAAGAGGTTCCTGAGGTGGCTGGCCTGTGTGTGCTCTGGGTGTGAGGGGAAATGGAGCTCTGAGACAGAGCTAATGAACCGCCTCATCAGAGCACCCAGCACTGTGTCTGTGGCACAGGCAGATCCTGGAGAGGAAGCACCACCATCACCCAAGGCCGTGATGCAGGAGGCTTGAGTCCTGCTGTGCTGAGCCACCCTGCAGAGCCCTGGTGCACACAATGGCTCTGCTGCCTTCTGGGGCCCTCAGAGGGGCAGGAGGGCAGCAAGGGCTGTTGTACCCCTGCCAAGGGGATGTGGTGCCACACAGCAGTCCCTGCACGTGCAGTAAAGCCTGGCTGTGTCCCATCTATGCCCAGCTAGGTAGACCTGCTCTATCAGATTTATTACAGGCAGCCACTGCTGCATGAGACCAACTCCAAAGCCCATCCAAGGCTGAAGCTTTGCCATGATGTCTCCCGGCCTTGTGGAGTCTTCCCCTGCAGATATCAGTAGCTTGTGTTTCATGCAGCCAGGCCCCTGGGCTCGTGGAGGTACGAGCATGCTGCAGGCACAGCTGTTGCCCACCAGCACTGCCCTGATTCTGCAAGGTGAACATGAACTTCCCTGCACATGTGTCTAGGTGAGGAGTGTCACATGTACTCCTTGTCCCATGCTCCATGCAGATCAAGTCCATGGATTAGGCAGAGGCTGTGAAACAAAACCCAGTAGGGCAGAAGGAAATCACCTCCTCATGCAAGGAGGGGCATTTCAGGGAAAGGGAATTTGTCCACAGAGCAGTGGATATGCAGCACATCAGTGCTGTTACTGGTTCCCACCATTCAAATCCTCCCCATCTGCTGACCAGCCCAGGGATGTGATTTCATCCATATGTTTTTCCACAGGAAGAGGGGACGATGCTACAATGCCCCCAAACCACTGCTGCCAGAACACTGCACAGCAACATTTGGGCTCCAAATGGAAGATGCAGCTGACACATGAGCCACATGCATCACTCTGACAGCCCAGGGAGGCAGGAAGGTACTGGCTGTGCACAGTGCAAGAGCAGCTACGAGCCCAGCCCCGTGCTCACCCTGTTCTGCCAGCTTTATTCCCTCCTGCATGAGGAATGAGAGGTACTCAGTGAACAGAAGAACTCACACATGCAAAGGAAGTTTTATTCCAACTGCCCACATCTCCTCCTAGGCTGCAATACCCCACTGCTTTGAGCTCCAGAGTAGGACCAGCACAGGCAGGGTCCTCAGGAAGATTTTTCCAGGGGCATCCAGTCATCTTGCAGAGGAGGCCACACTGCCCTCGCAGCAATGCTGGGCTCAGCTGGGAGCAGGGTGGGCAGATGTGGCACCACCACAGCCCAGATGAGCTGCAGGACAAACAGGGGCAGGAAACACCACAAGACTGCAAAAAGCCTGAAATGCATTTTGACTAGCTGGGACCACATGGAGCAGGCAGCCTTCCCAACAGGCTGCTGTTTAGCTCAGCCTCTGCTCTAACCCCCCTTCTCCCACCCCGCAGCTGCGGGAGGCTTGGGAACCTGCAGGGGCCGTTCCCTGTTGCTGGGAAATGTGGCTATTGAAACCACAACAGCGGCAGTGGCAAACACAGCCTGTTCCCTGGGCTCTCCAGGAGCTCCCACCACTGCCTGCAGGAAGGCATCCGGCACGAGCAGCCCCCCAGCGCAGGCCTGGGCCCCCACCAAAGGAGAGCAGCTCTGGGAGAGGAAGGCCATGTTCGCCACGGTGAGGTACGGAGGTACGTGGGGAGAGTCCAGCCCTGCCTCGGCTCTGGGGCCACTCAGTCACTTGGACTCCCTCACCACCCCCACGAGGGGCAGGAGGGACAGGGCACCCTGATGCACAGCAGTACCCAGGGGTTTGGGAACACACAGGAGAGCTCTGCACCCTGCACCTCACCTGTTTAAAGAAATATAATGCCTAGACACTGAATCGTGGAGGAAAACCACACCACCAGTGCTGAGTTAATCACAGGGAGGGAGGGCAGAGGCAACAATGAGTTCCCAGCCTGGCAGCTCTGGGGAATCTCTGCTGGGAGGGGCCCTGCTTACCTACACAAAGCAGAAAAGCCATGGGGCAGAAGTGCCAGCTGCCAGCAGAGCTCTTCTGCTCCCGGCTGTGTGGGAAGGGTGCCCTGGCTCAAATCCTGACCCTCAGCTTCAGAGAGCAGGTATCTGTGGCTGGTAGGAGGGAATGAGCAGCTCCTCTCCTGACCTCACCCAGTTGGCAGAGAGCCTTTGCCTGACCCCAGACACTCGTGGCTGAAGGCATCGGACACACACAGTCCTAAGCCTTTGCTCCCTCTGCTATTTGAATTGGATCCCCAGCTCTGACCACTGACGTGTGTCAGCCCCGGGGATTTCTCAATTGTGATAAACTTGGTGAGAGTTCATGGCCAAAATATCCCCTGGTGACTCAGCCACAATCTCCAGCTCTTTCCCCTTGTGACTGGGACCAGCTTGTGGAATGGGACTGGCAAGGACCAGAGCTCATTGCTTTTTCCTACTCATGCTCAATGAAACTGTGTTGAAGGACAGAGACACTTCATCAGTCAGAACTGTTTTCCCCAAATCAAAGTGTTCGTTCCCTCCCCTAACCTGGGGCACTCCCAGCACTAACCACCAGCAGATGTGGCTGTAAAGGAGCAGCTCAAAGCCCTGGTGATGCCAGATGGAGATCCTGCCCTTGCTGGCCACACAGTGGGCCCTTCTGAGCCACCTGCTGTGCCTCCTGCCATGTCCATTGGGCTCCTGGATTTGGCGTGACCACACTCCCATCTCAGGTCTCATTCTCTGTCTGCAGCCAACTGCCAAGTGATGGTGAACCTGCAGTGCTGTGTCCTGATCCTCACAACTCACCTGAAGAGGAAGTGTCAGTGCAGGCCTGAAGGTACGAGTGCTCCTGGGCAGGGGGCACCCAGGGACCAGCACTCACCCACAGAGAGCAACAGAGGGTAACAAACAGGTCACATGGGAGTCACAGACCATCCCAAAACACAGGGAAAGGGGTAGCAAACCTCCAGACCTCAACAGATTCTCCTCAAAGCATAAATTGCTAAGGAGAATGCTCTAAACCCCACAGGCTCATGCTGGCCACACAGGGGCACACTGGGCTTCCTTCACCACATGTCTCTCCCTCCAGACTGCATTGATCTTCTGGATGAAACAGGCACTCTGATGAACCTGAGCAAAGTGGAAAACCCTGCATCTGACTACACCAGTAAATACCTCCGGGAAAGGGAGCACTACATCCTCATCAGAGTCATCCGTAAGTTCCTTGCTGGGACAGCACAGCTCTGGGTGGGGGGAAGGGGGTGGGTTTCTGGAGTGGCTCTATTCAGCACTCACTTGGACACAGCACAGGAGCTCTGAGGAGGCAGAAGTCAGCTCAGATGAAGAGCTAGAGCTGAACCTTTGTTTGTCTGAGGTGGCTGCTCTCAGGAACAAGGAAACTTTCCTGGGCTGAACCACCTGCCCCAGTTGCAAACCCTCAGTTTGCAGCCAGGAGAGAGACTAATCCATTTCTTCCATTCTGCTGGCAGGAGACAAAAACTCTGAAGCCACATCCTATGAATCCTTGCTAGAGGACCTGGGGAAACACTACCCTGACCTAACAGGTAAGAGCCAGACACCCAGAGAGGAGCCAGGGGTGCAGGTGTGACTCCTCTCCCCATCTCAGCCCTTGGGACTGCACCCATGGGACTGCCCTCTGATCCCACTTAAGGGCTGGTTATGGCTGTGGGCAGTGAGTGCACTCAGGTTGGTCACTCCACAGATCGGCTGCAGCAGCTCTCAGCAAAGACCCAGAGGAGAGACCAGTGGAGGAAGGGATCCTTGCAGAGGAGGGCTCAGCCCCACACCAGCACCCAGTTAAGGAACAGAACCGCCTCAAAGAAGAAGAGGGGCTCAGAGTTCAAGAAGATCCCTAAATGAGGAACAGACCCATTCCTGGTCACACAGCACCGCCACCACCAGGACTCATCCACCTCCCCAGCTTATTCCCAGTTCAGCAAGAGTCCCCTGCTATGGAAATCCTCTTCCTGGGGTACCCTGCTTCTCAGAGGTTCCCACTACACATCCAAAGCTGCATCCTGACAAAGCAGGCAAACACAGTGCCACAGCCAGGCACAAGCAGCATCCAGGGGGTCACTCATGTTCCCATAGAATGGCCTGCACTCTCCAGTGACAAGATCCTGCACCTCCTTTCAAGCCCCCTGCACCAGCAGAACATGCACCCCCATCACTGGATGGACCTGCTTTCACACAACCACCACACTGGCAGTGCCTTCTAGAGACTGTCCACTGCGGTCACCAGGAACAGCTGTTCCAGAGACAGCCCATCTCCACACCTACAGAAGCAGCTCTTTGCCAAGATGGGTCAAACACAGAACACACCAGCTGCAGGTGCTCCTGCTGGTTCTCCTTAACAGCTTCTCCACCCAGACCAGCACACATCACTGTTACGTTTATTTCTTACAAGGAGTTAAACAACTTCAGAGAGGTTCTCCCCTGCTCACACTGGGACAGGTCAGGACACAGAGCACTTTGGCTTTGAGTCTCTGGCATTTACTTTTCCCCTTGGCTGTCTCTCAGGAGAGCACAAGGCACTCCAGTAAGGCCACACATAGGTCAGAACATTGTCTACCAAGAATTTAGATTGTGACATTTAGAAGGGGCAGGACTTTCAACACCAGCCTCCAGTGCATGCTGCCAGCATTTACCACCTAGACCTGGATTTCCTCACAGATCCCAACTGAGAACTTGTCCAGTATTCAACAGTCAGAGGTCGAAAGGTTAATAGACTCATTCTGCCATGAAAATGCATCAGTTAAGCATCTGAAAGTGTCGTGATTTTACTGCTGTGCCACTAAAGCTCCATCTGAAGCCTCTCTTTTACACCACCGTGAAGAACAGGGTGCCCTTCCAGAGGCCAGTCTGAGGGCAGCACTCACGAGATTGTTCTGCCAAGGTGACTGCAAGAGGAAAGCAGCTCCAAACTTCACCTGATGCCAACGACCTTGAGAACATTGCATAACCTGCTAAAGCTTTTAAGTAAGATCAGCCAACTGTACCCAAGTCCTACAGCCAGACAGGTCACACTGTCTTAGCTCTGAGTCAGAACAGCTCTCCAGGAAGAGGGTATCTATAGAAAAATAATTTGTTACTGAAAATACTCTAGACACGTTGGATTACCTCTCTCCAGCCTCTCCTCTGCCTGGAGGGCAGCCAGTGCAGCCTCAGCTGAGGTCTGGATCTCTTTTTGCCAAGTCATGTGGGCTCTGTCCTTGCTAGGCTGCACCTCCTGTTTGCAGGGAACACACAGTTGTGCCTTGTCCTTTAAGTGGCTGATACTGTTAACATTTTGGTAGTGTAATTTTAGCTTGAGAATTAAATAAAGAACGTGCACAAGTGATAGGTCCAAATAAATTCCTTTATTTCTCTGTAATAAATATAGCACTATCTGAATTCTGAAGACCCTTGGGTCCAATTGTTCCTTTCCTTCCCTACTAGTTCAGAAGTGAATTACCACTAGAATGCTCCTGTCTGGTCAGTCTGCTCCCTCCAGCTCACTCCCTGCCTGTCCTTCTGCTCCCTGTAGATAGCAGGGCCCTACACCACGATCCTCTTCCCTACAAGGGGGCAGATTCTTCACAGGAGAGAAGAAACACCTACAGGAAGAAAGCACAAATTCAGCATTAGGTACATGTTCCAGCAGCTGGAATTAAAAGCTCTGTTATCTCAGGTGACCAGATCAAGAGCTAACTTCTGACAAGAGCTTATAACAAATGCAGCAGGAATTAGGGAATCAGCTAGGGAAATACAGCAGGCTTCCCATGGCAGCAACAGAGGATCCTGTAAGAGGGTACCTACAGCCTCCCCACCTTCAGAAGTATGGTCAAGATCACTTCTCCTGCCCTTTCCAGTTCCCTTCTGGGAACAGCAGAGGCAGAACTGCTTCCTACTTATAGCCCTGAAGAGCACTACAGCCTCTAAATCGCTTCTACAACCTACAAGCCCTCTCGGGTGCTCTCCTGGCAGCAGTTCCCTCCCGTACGGACGGGGCACACTCACCGTTGTTATACTTGCACTGCTTCAGAGCCTCGTTGAAGCCCTCGCACAAGGTCAGGTCTCGCTGGTTGGTGGCACATTCCAGGAACTGCTTCATCTCGTAGTGGCAGGGACCGAAGGGCGACTGCGGCTGCACGGGCGCCTGCGGGCAGGGCCCGCTCAGGGGGCGGCCCGGGGGCACCGGCGCCTCCTCCCCGCGGCAGGCGGGCCCTGTCCCCCCTTCCCCTCAGCCCCGCTCCCCTCTCCCCTCTGCCCCGGCCCGGCGCCCCGCGGGGCACAGCCCCGCCAAGGGCGGCCCAAGGGCACAGCCCCGCTCGTACCTGCGCGGCCGGCGCCGCCTTGGCCGGCTCGGAGGAGGAACCGCCGCTGAAGGCGCCGGTGATGGCGCTGCCCACGACGTGTCCCACGGCGGAGCCCACGGCCACGCCGGCCGCCGTGCTCGCCATCTGCGCCATCAGCCCGGGCTGCGCCGGCTGCGCCGCGGGCGCCGCGACCGGGGCCGCTGGGGCCGGGCTGGGGAGAGAAAGGAGTCAGGAGGGCGGCACAGGCCCCGTGTGCCCCGCGGTGTCCCCGGTGTGCCCGCGGTGTCCCCGCCGTACCTGGCAGGCACCGGCGCGGGCCGCGCTGCGCTCCGTCCGCCCCTCGCCATCCTCGCTCTGCTCTCTCAGCCCGGCCCCGCCCCGCGCAGCCTTAAGAAGGGTCGCCGCCGCCACGTGACGCCGTGCGCATGCTCACTCGGGCGGCCGAAGCCGCGGCCCCGCCCCTCTGAGGGAAGGAGGAGTTCCCGGCAGGCGCATGCGCAGAAAGGGCGGGGCGGGCTGTCCCCGGGCTCCGCCCACCCCCGCGGGGTCCCTGCGCCGCCAGGGGGCGCGCGAGGCCCGCCCGGCCCTCAGGGAGCGGAGGGGGCGAGACCGGGGCCGCTGAGCGGTGGGGATATGGAATCACTGAGTCTGGGAGGTACCGAATTATCACTGAATTAGTGAGGTACCGAGTTATAGAATCACTGAGTCAGGGAGGTACCGAGTTACAGAATCACTGAATCACTGCATCAGTGAGTTACCGAATTATAGAATCACTGAATCACTGCATCAGTGAATCGTTAAAAGGCCTTTGAGATCACTGAGTCCAAGCATCGCCCAGCACCGCCAAGGCCACCTGCATCCCTGTCTGCCCCAACCACACGATTTCTGAACACCCCCAGCCTGTGCCAGGGCTGGAGAACCCTTTCAGTGAAGAATGTTTTCCTCATGTCCGACTGAAACCTCCCCTGGCACAACTTGAGGCCAGTTCCTCTTGTCCTGTTGCTTGTTACCTGGGAGAAGAGGCCACCCCCTGCCTGGCTCCATCCTCCTTTCAGGGAGGAGCAGGAATGATTTATACTCATGTGATGGCTTCTGCCTCTGTAGCAAACACTGACCATGGTTCTGCTCACTCCAAAACTGGAGCTGACTTTGCATTTCAGTCTGTCCCACTACACTGCCCTGCTCCCAATGGGACAACAAACACTGGTTCAGGGGTGAACTGGTACCTCGCTGTGCCCAAATTCAGCACCTGCCGGTGAAGTCACCCACCATCTCCACTGTCACTGGCCCAAACGTGGCTTAGCCCATTTTTGGGCTCCCACCACTGGGTGACGGCCACGACTGCTGCAGAGCCACGGAGGGACAGAACTCTGTGCACTCCAGGCAGGGCAGGAACAGGAGCAGGGAGCAGGCAGGGCAGGAAGGGAGGGAGCAAGGAGGCACTGCTGGCATCAGGTGATGAACTGAGCACAGCAGCTCCCCTGTGATGGTTAATGAAGATGTTGTGACAAAGGAGAGCTGTGAGAAGGGCAACGTGGTGGCTTTGCAAAGGCTCAGAGAGTGTTTCTCCCAGGTGTGGAGCAGGGCAGGAAGGAGCATGAAGGGGCTTGTTGGGAATGGGAATGGAGAGGGCCTCTGTTGCATGGGAGACAATGGGTGGAGGAGAGGTGGATAATGATGGGCTGGGAGCGGGAAGATGAGCACTCCACAATTGGGGCAGAGAAGAGAGGGTGCCAGGGAGGAGCTCAGGAAGGAATGATGTGGTCTAAGCCATTGGCCAGCACAACAATTTTTGCAGCAGCCCTCTGGTTACAAACCTGGAGATCAAGGAACACTTTGCAAGGCGTGGACATTGTTGGGCAGTAGGAATCCATGAAAAGATGATGATGAGCCCTCAAATCACGAACAGACAGGCTGGACGACGCCAGTTTTACCTTCAAACCAATTTCCTGACAATCATCTCTTCCCTGGCACCCCCGCTGGTCTCTGGGGCCTCTGTTGGTCCGTGTCTGTTCAGCATCTCCCCAGAATGGCTCTTCTTGCCAGCTCCATCTTTGAATGTCCCTTATGTCCTGTGGAGTGAAAGGAATTTCCAAAATTGAGAAGGATCCAGAAGTTGTCCAGGAAAAAAAAAAAAATCCTAGCTATGTTATGTCTCCAGGGCTGTGTTCATACATTCAGCACGTTATGAAAACCAGCTCTTTGGGCTGGTTCATTGACTGGCAGGAATTAGAGAGCTAAGTCACTGCAGGACTGGCAATTAGCTGCTGTGTAAGTGTTATTGTAGAGTCAAATTTCCAGCACGAGGGGAAGAGAAAAGCGTTTGTAAAGCAAGCTGCCCCCTCTGCGTAGGAGCTGGGCGGGTGGGGGGAGCTGCAGCTCCTGAGGAGAGAAAGGGATTGTGCCTTAAACAAACACCACTTTGGTCTCCTCGTCTGCGGGGTAACACCCCCAAATCCTTCCTCCCGCAGCGCCTGCCCCAGGAGCTGTGCAGTTCTGCTTTCAGCTGGAATAGCAGCATTTTACATCTGCCATTTGCCTGTCTTTTCCCACTAACAAAGAGGGGGCCAAGCAACTGTAAAACCAGAGGAATGTGACTGGAAAGCCCCTGCCTCATCAGCACTTGTGCTTTTCCCTTTTCCCAGCCACAGGTCCTGGAGGAGCAGGGTTCCCTTCCTTGTGCGGCCCCATCCCGATGAGCCACGAGCACCTGTGGGCAAACAGATCTTAAAGGCAGGAGAGAGAAAAGGCAGGAGGGAAGACAAAGGTGACCTCAGAAAGCTCCTTGCTGCAAGAAACCCCCATGGAGAGAGCTCAGCTTTCTGCCATCAGCATGTGAGCGTGGCTGAGCCATCAGGTGTGGTGCTGGGGCTGCCACACCACGGGCTCCTTTCCCTTCTTGGTTGTCCCTGGCCATAGGAAGAAGCTCAGCATGTTCCCGGGGGAAGGAGAGGACAGACTTGCAGGGGGTGCAGGGAATGCCAGAGCTCCAGCCATAAGAAATCAGGATTCATTAGTTCCACCACGCGCAGAACAACTTGCTGAAGGAGCCTGGGTTTCAAGCTGAGCGCGAACCTCTAAGCTGCGTCTGGGGGACCCTTTGATTTGGTTAATTAGACACAAAGTTTTTCTGTGCAGTGGGAGGCCGGGTATGTGCTGAGGAGCACAGCTACCCTGGGCTTACTAATGGGATAATTTATTGTGGCTGTCTGAGAGGCTGAGTGTACACAACTCCACCCGCACACACACCACCCACTCCTAGCCCTCTGCTCCCAGCTGGAGAGTCCTCACCACCGGAGGTGGAAGTGCTGTGGCAGGTCTCCCTGTGAGAGCCCTGCCGAGCAGCCATCCTCTCACTGGGGGACTTGTGCAGGAGGGCCCCGTTTGCATCTAAATATCCCTGCAATATTTCAGGGATTCATTTCTTCCCCGGCCAAACTTCCTAATTCCTCTATTTTTCAGCCCGAATTTGATCTTTTATTCAATCAAGTAGCTTTGTTTCTGCCTCTCTCTCTCTTCCCCTGCTCCAGAAGATCCCTCCTTACATAGTTCAACTGTTAGGGCTTGCCTGCACTTGAAGGTTGACTCTGGATTTAGGGACATATAAATCTGAAAGATAGTAACTAATTCCTGAATACTTCTGGAAAGATTGACTGAAACCCAGTAATTTCTGAATAACTTAGTGCACTGGCTGGCCAGTACCTCCCCTCTTGTTAGCAGCAGGAGCAGGTAGGACAAGGTTTGTTAAAAGCAGGTCTGTTTTTTTCCAACTACTTTCTCCCCATTGCTCTAAAAGCAGATCACAACCTCCCCCTTCAGAGTTTGCCTCACTTAAATCCTCACTCTGTCACCACTGAAATGTGGCTACAAAGAGATCTAGGAATTCCCCAAGCATTTGAATCTCAAGGGGTTGTTTCACAGGTAAGGAATGCAATACTAGCCTCCCTGTGTCTCCTACCTGTCTCTGCCCCTCTGTGGGGCGACAGCGGTGCTCTGTCTTTACCAGGCTGCAGTTTCACAGGGCGTTTGCTTGGGGGATGGTGACACCACAAGTGTCACATTTCTGCAGAAAGCCCTCTCCTCACAGCCACGACACGCTGTGGATCGTCCCTGCCTGGTCCCTGCCATGGGCCACCACCAGCGGGTATCCATCTGGGGATGCTGCTGGAGCCTCCTGCCTCCCGAGCTGCAGGTTTGCGCTTGGAGAATCCTAATTAGTGCATGCAGGGGCAGATCTGGGCAGTGCTCTGGGTGTACCTGAATTTAAGTTATTTAGGTTAACAGCAAATTGCACGGGATGATTGCTCGGGGATCTGGGCAAACTATTCAAAGCAGAAGAAAGTGTCTGATGAATTAGCCAATATTTTTGTTTGTGGACAATCCCCAAGAAAGAAAGAAACCAAACCTCCAGTTCTTACCAGTGTGTTTGCTACTCAAAATTGCTCCATGAATCATTTAAGACTGAATGTATGCAGTGAGTGGGTTTCTCGTGTCCTCCTTTTATTTTCATCTTTGAGCTCTGGCTAGTCCTAATTCTGCATGTGCCAAGTGGCTGATTTCAGTCCCCAAGTTCACAAGGAAATCTCAGGTCAGATGGAAATACGCAAGCACTACTTTTTTTCTCGTATAAAGTTTCTTGCAAGCAGAGTCGCCACTGAGAAATAAGAACAATTTAAAAAAAGCAGGCAAGTTGCCACCACAAAATGGAATTCACAGATTTTTCACGGACAAATGGCACACACTTCCCACAGTCCCGCCTCACCAGCATTCACCAAGGGAGAATAAAGCAGCAGTGTCACAGGTAGGTGATATCTGATGGCATCCCCACGGCAGCGTGGCACAGAGCCCTGTCTCACTCTGGATGCCACGGGCTTCGTGCACACTCCCCACGCAGATTCTTGCCGTCTCAGTCTTTTTTTAGCCAGGATACAATGCCTGAAACAAAGTGACTGCATTGTGAGAGTGGGAGATGAGAAACGGGAGGAAGGAAAAACCACGGCGTCTCGGTGGAGGAGCTGCAGATGGCCAGACGTGACTGCAAGGGAGGGGAGGCAGCACTCTGAGTGCCGTTTCAGCTTTCAAGTCTCGTGCTCCCAGGATCTACATGCCATTTCTTGGATGTGGTTTGCCCCGAGGGCAATCTCAACAGCTGTGAAGTTTCAACAGATGAACAATGTAGTTTTCAATAAATTTCACCAAGCAAAGGAAAGGCTTTTAACTCATTCATGCTGGCCCACTTTTGGTCTGAAGGCTCTTCCGGACCTGAACCTGTTCATATCATGAGTGTTTCCTGTTTGAACCCCAGGGCCTGGCTGCTGGAGCACACCTGAGCTACACTGCTGTGCTCCAGGTTTCTGGAGAGCTCTTCCTCATCAGAAGAGGCTTCTCTCAGACATTCCCATGGGTGCTAGGAGGTGCAGGTACATCCCTGCATTTACCTGTGCCACTTGAACCCACCCAGGTGGCCTGTGGATGGAGGAAGGTACCAACTGTGGAATGTGAATGCCCTCACCTCCTGATGAGGAAAGAGAGGTGGTAGAAGAAGAACTTTTTCAAACCTGCTTGTGGTGGCTGCATCTCAGAAGTTCCATTTCTTTTGTATTCACACATCCAGAAGTGGGTCTTGTGCACTTGGAGGCAACTTTTGATCCCAGCTGAAGGCTGATGCCATTAGTTATAACTGAAGGAAGGACTTCTGTGTCCCCAAATTCCTCAGACAGACCTAGTCAAGAAATTACCAGAACGCCTCCAGGGTATCCTCAGATGGTAAGGACAAAAATTACTGTCAATTCTGAAATTGACAGTAATAAATAAAACCTGATGAATACAGGACAGGACAGCAAACCTGAGCCCAGAGATTCTGTTTGGGATTTTGTTTTGTTTTCTTCATGGCCACAGAAGTGCAGCTAAAAAGCCAGCACGGGTTTGTTTGGTGTGTGTCTGGGGGATCTGAGCAATGAGCCCCTGCCCTTGGCTGGGATCCACCAAGCCCACACCCCTTGAAGGAGATAACAGTGCTGAGCAGGCCCTGGAGGGATCTCACACCTCTACAGGCTCCCTGCTTTCCCTGTTGATGCTTTACCTGAGGTGTCCCGGTTGATGGGCTTGGGGCTCAGCATTTCCTCTTCACCCAAACATCTGCCCAGAGGCCATTCCCTTCTACTCCTGCACAGCTGCTTCCTGGCTGGTCCGGTTCCCCCCCTCTCTGCTGCAGACAGTCAGCAAACATCCCCAGAGAGCTGCCTCGGTGCTCCCCACACACAGCTCCGGGGGGCACAGCTCCCGGGCGTCTGCAGGAAAACAACATGAGCCCGGCTACGGAAGCAGGATGGGGTCTGTGTGCAGGGCAGAGGCACCCGTGACCTTTAGGAGGCTGTTAGCACCAACCCACGAACAGCTACTGCTTTGAACTAGAATATTACAGTAACTGCCCCTTTCTCCCCCTTCCCAGGCAAAGACAGAGCCCGTACAGCAGCCAGAGATTTCCTTCCTCTATAGAAGGCAGTGATGTCTCCTTTTCACATGGATGGTCAATAATCCCTGCAAATGTACAGGGCAGCCTTGTAGTGCAGTCTGGTTTGTCACGATTTCTGCTGAAATGCTCTTGTTTCAACTGCCATCTCCACCATGGAGTCCTGAGCTCAATGCAGAGTCCATCTGTGGGCTCCTGCATAGGAACACTGCAAACATCCTTCTCTGTAGGGACAGCCTGGCCTGTGCAAAATCAGTGGTGTGAGCAAACCCCCCAGATTTCTGGAAAGGCTGGACACTGTACATGCCATGTTGGATTCATTCCCAGCTTTGGGCAAGGTCTCATGGTGCTTCTTTTAGACTGTTCTTCAGAACCTTCAGTGTGCTGTCTTGGTGCTTTCCTGGACCCCAGGCTTCCACAGTGAGTTTGAGATAATGCAGCCTCAGAGTTTAGCAATTGATTCCCAGGAGAAAGTGGGAAAACACTTTGGGAACTGAGCTCTGTGACTGTCCAGCAAGCAACTCATTCCAGTGACATTTATTAGTGGCAGTGCAGTGTGGGACACGGCCTTCCCCACAGCATCCTAGGGTAGCATGAACTCTGAAAGGCAGAGAGCTGCACAAAGCAACAAGAGCTTCACAAAATCACTGCTGCACAAAGTAACCACTGTGAGAGGCACTTAGATCCAAATGGGAGCCAAGAGAGGGTTCACACCACCAATAAAACCCACACTTCCATGATGTCTCTTTGGGGTCATCTCCTCTGGACTGTGTTTGCTTACTCTCCTGTCTTTTTCCCCTCCTGGCTCACATCCTTACTGCCTTCATGAGGCTTCATTCAGTCAGAGCCCCACGTCTGCCTTGTTCTGCTCACCTGGTACCAACCAGCCCAGCTGTCTCCCTGCCATGAGCGCAGCCATCCCATCCTGCTGGATGTGAGGAGCACCCTCTCCTTCCTGCTGGCCCTGGCCATGCTGCCCTGCACGTCCTGGGGACTGACACCTTGGTCACAGGCACCCCGTGAGGAGATGCCCGTGCAATGTGGAGGGGCAGGACGGTCCCAGCAGCAGTGAGGCTGTGCCGAGAGGGGCTGGGGGAGTGGTACCTGTTCCTGAGAGCTGAGCTCAGCAGCGTTTGCTGAGGAGGGGGGAGAGAGGGAGGGAGGTGAAGGGCTTGGCTGCTCTGGGCAGAAACGTGCGTGAAGAAAAGCCTCGACCCACACCCTGAATTCCACAGCTCGATTCCGGGGACAGGGGGAGGGAGAGAGGACAGGATGGGACATTTACAGCAGACCTGCGACTTGTTCATAAAAGCCTCATCTCACCAGCCCGGCCTGCCTCCTCCCCCATTGCCTCCACCGCTCACGCCGGGTTTTATTAACGCAGTTCCCCTCAGGCTAGAGGGAATCACATCCCAGGAGACATTCCACTCTCAGATCGGCTTCGGAGGGGATCAGAGGGAGCCAAGGGTGGGGGGCGTTTCACCGGGACGTTTCATTTGCGGAGAGCTGGCAGGTTGGGAGCGCTGCAAGACGGCACTAGCAACCTCCTTATCAGACACTGAGCAGCCGCAGGCTGGAGTGGCGTCTCTGCTCGGCACTGGATGTCCCAGCCATTTCTGCTTTGTCCGGGCTGCTGGCTGGGAGCTCTTCACCTGGGCTCTGCCGAGTGTTGGGTGCACGGCCGGGCACGGGGAGTCTGGGCAGGGAGCCTGTCCCGGTTTCTCAGGTGAACAAACCTTTGGTGACATGTAGCCAGGTCCAGGCTGTCACAGGGGCTCAGCCTGGGGTCAGATTCCTTCCCTGAGCACCAACAGGGCCTCAGCTGCCTGCCAGCTCCTCGCAGCCGTCGCACCCTGCACCAGTCGGGGCTGACACCTCTCGCCAGGAATGGGAGCCGGCTCCCCGGCGTCTGGCTCCCCAGGTGAATTGTGGTGTGCCCTGAGCCTACGCCAGGAAAATGCCAGCAGATGAAACTGCATCTCAGGCCAAGAGACACGAAGATGGATGTGTTTTCCTTGCCTGGCTTATCTCGCAGGCAGTGCTTCTCACCGGAGCCCGGCACTGTTTGTGTGCGCTCAGCTCCTGGCACGGGGGCAGGAGATGATTAGACAACAAACACTGTGGCGGAGCTCTCCCGAGCTGCAGCCTGCCCCTGCCCTGCCGAGACCACGGCCCAGCAGGGAGCTGCTTCTCGGGGGCCAAATCCCAGGGCTGAATCCCAGGGCTGGCTGCAGCTGCACTGGGGCTGCAGCAGGAGAGGGGGGAGGAAGAAACACAAGACCCCACAGCTGCTCGGGCACCGCGTGAGCTGTAGTGTGAGCTGAGGCTGCCTTAGTGCTCCCCCAGGGACTCCCTCCTGCACTGGATGCCTGCAGAATCGCAGTGCACCTCTCCAAGGTGAGGTGCTGGACAGTCCTGCCACCATCACCACCATCACCCTTGTTCCCAGTTTGGAGGAGGCAGCAGTGCCTGCCCAGCAGCCCTGCAGGTAGTTGTGCCCCCAGCCAGGGGCTCTGCTCAGCAGGCACCCCTTGGTTTCATAAGGGCAGTACATCAGGCAGATCACAACCTCGTCAGTCTCTGCACTGCTGTGTTCAACCCAGAATCAAGGTCAAGGAAGGGGGGTTTTAAAGGCAAAAGAAAATAAATTTAAATCAAGTAGAAGCAGATCAAGCAAAACTTTCTAAAAATGCGTAGTGGGACTGTTGTACTGGCCTAGTTACACTGAAGTCTGGAAGACTGTGGTGTTTTTAAGGTGCAGTGTTTGGATCCAGAACAGCCTACACAATTCCAGCATTTTCATTTAAAAGATTAAAAAAAACCTAAAGAATTTTTGAAGCAAGGGATTTTGCTGACCAACAGACACTTCTACATATTACTTTACCTTTCCACTTGTGAGTCTGGGCCCAAAGGCCAAGTTTCCTCTCACTCCACATCCTCTTCTTCCCCTTTCCCCAGGTCCATGCTTTGGGTTGCCTGCAGAGGAGGAGAACCAGGTAATTCAGGAAGTACTCCTGATCAGTGGTGTTTATGAGGGCAGTTCACTGCACATGACCCCCAGCCTCGTTTTTACCTACCACCACCCGTACAAACACCCACTTTGGCTGCCTGGGAGAAAAAGAAGATGCCAGGGCCGAAGAAAAGGGGAATCCCAAAAGTGGGAGGGTGAGAATAGAGACTTGCCTGGTGGAGATGTGTCCCCATTTGTCACCCACTGAGCAGTGATGGTGAAAGCATCAATTCATGCGGCCATCTCCTACAGAGAGAGAAGGAAAGACTTTAGAGAAGAAAAATCAAAGGGGTTTCTCTGTCCTGGGGATTTGGCTCCTGGACCTTCTTCCAGCTGCTCAGGGGAATGCCCAGGAGGTGTCAAGCTCCATGTTGACTTTGCAGGGAACCTAAACCCAGGTCCCCAGCCACATAGAATACAGCTGTGAAAGTCACACCAGGGAGGTGGCAGGAAACAAAGGACTTTGGACAGACAGGCTTAATCCATTTAAATTCAGTTTCTCTCTCACTTCCCTCCCCTTTCCCCTTTGCTCCTCATCAGACACCTCTTCCCCCACCTCCTCTCAGTCCAAAGTGCCTTACAGCAGTTTCCCACACAAGTGTCCCACGGACTGAAAGAGTTATTTGACTTCTTTGCTTCTCACAATGGAGCAGAATCAGACCCACTGTTGTCTTCTTCTTGCACAGTCTCTTCCCACCTGACACCTGCTGGACTGCTGGGAATGGTTATCCCCAGCTGGTGATTCCTGTTGGCACCCACATTACAACGCCACTTCGCCTTACCAGATATTCACAAGGCCATCCTTGCTGGAAAGCCTTAGGAGAGTGGGAGAAGAGATAACGCTTGTAAGTCAAAAGGACTTGGAAAACCCACGACAGCTCTGCCACTTGCTAGGACTGGAAGGCCCTGAGGAAATGTTGAGCAAAAAGAGCTACACATGGGGATGCTGTATTGGAAACATCAGTGACCATTGGGACCTCAGCCATGAAGGTTTTCACTGGGCTCCTGTAGCCATTACAAGAAGCCCAAATTTGGCTCCAGCCTGGCAGGAGCTACAGGAAAGCAAGCAGACAGTGCCTGCACTTAGAGATGTCAGACTGTCGGTGCTCTGGGGCTGGGGTGGGAGCCCTGTGCTCATCTGCCAGCAGGCTCTGCACATCCAGCAAGCTGCAAACAGAGGCAGGGGCGAGGCCTGCATGGACAGGACACAGTGGCTGAGAGAGCTCCCAGCTCAGGAGCACTAGCAGAAAGGACTTCTGCAGGCTGCACACAGGGCTCTCTGCAGAAAGTGAGCACACGAGCTCCCAGAACACCCTGTGGGCCATTTTCCTGCTGCTAAACATCTACTTGCTCAGCTGGGAAATATTTGCAATCCCAAACACACCATGCACTTTCTTTTGTGTTAAGTGCCTTGGCAGGAGCCAGCAGTTCTCACACACAGTCACATCTCTGCAAGGACTGAGTTTCCCAGAACACCCCATTTAAAAGTCTCCCTTTATTAAGAAGAGCCAAACTGCCTGTCGCTGCCTTACAGGCTGCTCCCATGCCTCTCCCTGCTTCCCCAGGGCAGCAGCAGGCTCCATTGCCATGGCCTGGAAAGCACTGAGCTCCCAGAGACACCAGCATTGAAAGAAAAGACACTAAAGAAAAGAGACACAAAGGCAGAAAAGCTTTTCTTGCTGGGATGCAGCTGTCTGGCTCAGAGCAAGGCAAGAAAGTAGGGTCTGCTCTGCATTCCTGGGGCACAGCCAGAATAACAGCAGAAGGGTAAATTCCACAGTGTAAAGTGTTTTCGCCTCCTTCCCTATCCCCTCTTAGAAATAAGGCCTTGGGGATGCCCTGAACATGGTGCTCCAGTGTGGGGACATCTCACTAAGAGCCTGTGAGTCACTGCAGCACCTTCCAAACACAGCCAAGACCAGGCTCTTTCTTCTCACATCTGCTTACCGTACCCAGTATTTACATCCTCAGTATGGTTCCCATAAAACAAAACATGAACTGATCACAGACAAATAAAGCACTAATAGAGTCCGGGATGTCAGGAAGCCTTACCCACTCCCTGCACACCAGCCCAGCCAGCTGGAGATCAAAGTTTTCTTATTTGTAATACATTTCTTGAAACAATTTGCAGCTAAACTCAGTCTACTGAGGGGATGCTGACACAGTCCAGGGCTTCTTCCGTAGAAACAGGAACCAAGAAACCAGATCTGTGCATTGCTGCCTCCACCTCCAGGTGGCTGAGCAGATAGAGGAGACTTTGGCATCTCCAAAATGGGGAGCTGTTCCCTTCTTTCCCCTCCCTCAGCATCTCACACAGGGAAAGGGTGAGTGAAGGGCTTCAGCAGATCCCTGCACAGGCAAAGCAGGGGTGCAGACACATTTAAACACAGAGATGAGCTATTCCCCATGGGGACTAGAGTGATCTCGACGGGCACGGAGAGTCTAAGAGGATTGTTTTCAGTCCTTGGTACCCATAAGCAGGAGAAGTGAAAGACACCTTTAAACGGACCCGTTTAAAGCCATCCCAACGCAGACAGGACCCGGGTGCACGGAGGCCAGGGGGCCGGTGCCGGGGAGGGGTGTGAGGGGGATCCCGCCCGTCCCATGTGCTCCGCCCCGCCGCCCCCCCGGGGGCGGAGCGGGGCGGGACGGACGGGACCCCCCCTCCCTCCCGCGATGCCGCCGGGCCGTGTCCCCCCGGCCCGAACAGCCGCGGCTCGGGGAGAACAAAAGGCAGGAGCGGGAGGAGGCGCGAGGAGGAGGGCAGGCGGTCGCGGTGGGGGGATAAAAGGCTCAGCGAGGACCCCCCCCTCCTCCTCTGCCCCATGTCCGATCCCGCTCCGCCGCCCGGCATGGCCCGTGCCCCGCTGCCCGCCGCCGCCTTGCTGGCCGCCGCTCTGCTGCACTGCGCGCCCGCCGCGCCCGCCCGCCGACACAAGCCGGTGAGTCGGGACCACCCGGTGCCTCTCTCCGTGCCCCTCGCCGCTCTCCGGTGCGGTCCCGAGGGCAGCATCTCCCCGGCAGACCCTCCGCTGAACGGGATGAGCCATCTTCCCCCCTCCACCGTTTCCATCCATCCCCGAGCCGCCCTCGGGTTGCCGGCAGGGGCAGCGCTGCCGGGAGACACCGGCCGCGGGACGGCTGACCCTGCCCCGGCTGTGGCCCCGCTCCGCGGGCTCCTCTTGACATGTTAGGGGAGGTTGCATAGGCGTGCTCCCGAGAGAAAAAGAGGGACCGGGACAAGGAGGGCTTAGGAGAGGACATGAGATCCCCTATGCTTTACAGGCAGCAGAGCACTCGCTGCTGCTCACCCCCCGCAAGCTGTGCTGGAAGTTCTGAGAAGTGTTACGGGGAGAGGAGACTAAAGGGATGAATCAAAGGCGCAGGCAGGAGAGGAGCAGCAGGGCTCTTTCTTCTTGCACATGCCTGCCCGATCCCAGCACCTGGGATGGAGCTGCGAGCAGCAGGGACTGCGGCTGCCGGAGAAGAGCAGCAGTGTGCGAGGGATTTGGGGGACGGGAGAAGACAGAGAGCTCCTTGTGCTGGGAATGTGTGCGTGCGTAATTGGGTTATTATAGACATGCGCTTCGCTGGTGTGCCATAAAATAATAACAGAGCAAATGCCCGGTAGCAGCCCAAGGGGATTAGTTCAGGTTCTGTCGATGGTTTTATTATCAGCTCTGTCATCTGAGTACTTTCTAACTTGGCTGCTAAATATGCTGTGGGCTGGGACTTGGCACAGAGCAGCCTTGGCCCCCAAAGTGCTTGTGTTTTCCAAATGAAATGTCACTGTGCTTGGCTCTGCTCTGCCTCTGAGGAAGGTGAGGCCAAGCACTCGGTGGTGGCACTCTGCACTCTAGTAATGACACCACTGTGGATTGCAGCCCCACTGGAGTGCAGCAAGGGAGGGCAGAGCTCCACCTGCGTCGAGCTGGAGACCGCTGGTTCCTGCGGGACATGGGCTGGGCTGGCAGGTGCCTCAAGCTCCGATGTGTGCAAGTTGTGAAGCTGCTGTTAATGAGGGGACCTGCACAGCCTCTGGTCCTGGTCTTCTTGCCAGCAAGGACCTGTGTGGGATCTCCAGGGAAGGGAGAGCCAGCCTGGGTTTCACACCACCTGATTTTCAGGCCCGGTCAGCTGTGGTGTCACTGTCCTTTTACCAGTGCTCACAGCTGCTGATGGACTGCAGAGGTTGCTGGGGCTCACCTGCCTTGGCCAGTGGGGAATTCCCCCCTTGAAGTGAGGAATACACCAAGTTGCTGGAGAGCACAGAGTTAATGTTAAGGGATCCAGGTCTGCTCAGGCTTCCTGTCCATCTAATCCACCACCATGCTCCAGAAGAAGGTTCCTCCCAGGTGGCAGTCTGGTTTCCTCCTCATCCTAGGCTAATACTCTGCATTGTGAATGCTGATGCTTTCCTCTTGGCTGGAGTAACTCCAGGTGATGCTCCTACAGGTATGTTTTGTTCAGGAATACCTCGTGCTTGTGTGTTTGACCAGCCATGTGGGGCTCACAGTTTTGGATCAGTGTATTTCACTCAGTCTTTGCAGAGATTGTGGCTTCATTGGTTTGGGGTTGAAAATGGACAGGTGATTTCCCATCCTTTCAAACAGCAGTTCTGTCATCCCAAATAGCTGCCCTAGTGGGTTCCTTATCTGGTGTCAAGGTTATTCTACTGTCTGAGGGGTAAAGCCACTTTTACCTGGGGGCCGTTCTCACATATGCTGTAAGTTGACAGCAGTGCACCCCGTTCCTCTCCTGGCTGGGGAACACAAGTCAGTGCAGGATAGCTGAGGTGGGATTGCTGGGCTGACAGGGACCCCCATGCATGTGCATTTGGCCTCAGTTTTTCTCTGCCCTCTCTTACTGGAGAACTTGCATCGTGTTCCCTTCTCTGGCTACTCTGAGTCTCTCTGCACAAAGGGATGTTTCCCTAATGTCTGACAGCAGCTAATTTCCTGTCTGGGCACCTTTTGCTGTTGGGTGATGAATGAGAAAGGAGCCAAGGGGCTGAGCTGGGAAAAGAGATTCACACTCCAACAAGACAGACAAAGGTGACTTCCTCGATCTGTGCTGGCAGAGGGGGTGGGCAAGGACAGCCCTCGGTGCTGCAGTGTGCTGCACCATGGCTATTTGTGCTCCAGTAACAAGTCACAACACCAGTAACTCAGTGGGGAGGGAATCAATGGCCAAGATTCATTTTAAAGCCAGGCTACAGGGCAAGTTGCAGGAAGACTTGTGTTCTTCGAGGCAAACCCTGTAGATCTCCTTCACTTCTGTATTAATGCCTAAAGAAAGGAAGAGAAAACTGAGAGCAGAATAAAGGCTGTGTCTGGTGTCCACTGTAAAACTTGAGAACAAAAGATCTGCAGTCCTCGGGGCTGTGCACGCGCAGACACTGAATTCCTGCATTGCTTTCAGCTCCCCTGGGAAATCAAAGTCACTCCATTTGCTGGGAAGCTCTCTCTCCGTGGAGAAGTGGTGGGCACCCTCCCAGCTGCCAGCGTAATCCGTGTCCTGCAGCTCTCACCCCGAATGCAGGAGGTTCCCCGCTGGAAGCACAGCGGTGCCTTCCCCGCAGCCCAGGAGCCGGGGAGGCTGCTTGCCTTGCCTTGCTCTGGGTTCAGGCAGCTCCCGCAGGAAGGGTTTGATTTGCACTCTTTGGTTTGGCTATTTAAATGCTACAGTCAGTGTTGAGGTAATTTTAGGCATGTTTATCTTCTGCTCTGGGAGAGACTCAAGACACATGTAAGCAGTTATTCTCCAGCGTGTTTGTTGTGTTTGTGCTTCCACATGCAACGCACACGCACACCCTGCGGTGTGGCAAGACCTGGGGGGTGCAGCTGGCAAAGCAGATCCGGGAGGGAGGAAAGGGCAGGGAGGAGAGAAGAACCTTGGGGAGGATCCCCCTCTCCAGCTTATGTTGCACTTTCCTTACTTTCCCCACACTTGTCCTGCCCTGGCACCACAACTCGTGGGGGTCTGCAGAAGAAGGGATGCACAGTATAGGACTTGTTTGAAAAGAATCTTCTGTGGAAAACTGGCCTCCAGAGAGGCTGGTCATCCTCTTTCCTACTGAGTAGCTCTTTCCTACTAATCTGAAATACGCAGACAGGTAAATGAAAGCTTCCTGGATATTCTTACACTGGGGATGGCTCGGCCTGTAATGGGAATGGAAGCATTGCTGACTTTGCACATAGCTGCCCAGCAAAGTGAAAAGCAGAGCACTTCAGGGGTTCACCGAGGGCCACAGACATGTTTTTAGAGGTTCACTGAGATCCTGGTGCAGATGAGTACCAACAAGGACAGAAAGGTGAACAGGTCTCTTCTTAGTAGTCTTTGGCAGGAGAGAGACATTACCATCTCACAGAAGTGACTCTGAAAATCAGCAGAGGGGGAACCCCCACCCCCCTGACATCTCCGGGAGATTGGGCAGGGGGAAAGTGCTTGTCTTGTGGGTGTGGAGATCCCAGACTGCACATCTGAGCATCCTGCACTCCCTGAGGGTAAAACATCCCCCCATAGCTTTGGAGAGGGCTGTACTGTGCTGGGTGACCAAACCCAGTGGGAGATATCCCAGCTGTTGTTCATGGCTCACCTTAGCTTAGATGTAACTGCACAATGAACAAAACACCTCAACCCCCTTCCTCCCCTGCCGGGAGTGTGCTGCATCCTAGAGCTGTTTCTTCGGTTCAAGGGGATTTCTAGGTCATCAGATTAAGGGTTCTTGAAACCTCTTGCTATCCCAGCATCCTGGGGCTTGTTTGCTCTGTAAGTACTCCTGTTTCTGGCAAACTGTTGCTTGGGTGACACTAGCAGTTTGGGTTTGGTGTTGTTGATGGAATAGACTCACAAATTGTCACATAATTAAAATGTCTGATAATAAAAATAGTCGTGCAGTGTTTATTCATTTGCTTTCTCTTGTTACTCCAAGGCCTGGTTCTTCTCATTCTGTCTGTGGGCATAAACATTTGCAGTCCATAATGTTTCGTGTTCAATGTTGCTTAGGAAAAATAAACATTTTCCTTTTTTTGTTGCCAACAACAACTACCACCAAGTAATCCGGAAACAAACTGTCAGGCCCCAGGAGGTAGTGCTGGATGGTGCCACAGAGTATGGGAAGTGAGTGGAGAGGAACATCCAACTGTATGTGCGTGGCCAGGCACTGCAGCAGCTCCTGTTTGGCTGCAGCCTTTGTGTTCTCCCTGGCTCTGTCTGCAGTGGGACTGGCTGCAGCCCAGTACAGAGGAGCCAGTCCTGTAGCAGAAGTATTTTGTGTAAGGAAACGATTCATAGTTAGAGGGGTTGGGAGACTGCCTTGTTCTGGAGGAGGTAGGATCTATAGATCTGGTGGCTTTGCCGAGGCATTGTTTCCACTAACAGTGCCTTGACCAGGAACACACTTAGCTCAGGGTCACACCAGACCATAGTAATGTGCTTCTGCCATGAAATTTCAGCTGCAGCATTAGCACCTTCCCAGGCCAGTTTGCTTCTGGGACACAACCTGACTCCAGTTTTACCACTAACCATCAGCTGTAGCTGCACTTTCAAATCCATTCCCTGCAAATCTGTGCTGGGCTGAGAGGCCGGCTCAGTAAAAAGCCAGCCATGGTACCCTGTGCATCAGGACAACAGTGCTGATCTCAGGCAGGAACATTGCTGTCAAGGGGGTGTAGAGCCCCTGGGGGGGCACAGCCACCCCACAGTGGACAGAAATGGGGTGAGTAATGGAAGAAAGCAGGGAGAAATGGAAAAGCAGTAACAGAAGGGATAGGGAGGTGGGAAGAAAGTCCATGAGCTCATTCTCCAAGAGAAGAGGAAACAGCCCCAATGACAGGAAATATCCAAAACTGATGGGATTTGTGTTGTAACTTGTCCAATCACTCCTGTCTGACAGGGAGAGGGGTCTCCTTTCATGTCCATGCTGCAGAAGCAGACAGGAGCCCAGGTACTTAGGTACACAACAGAAGACACAAGTTTAAGTTCAGGGCAGGCAGAGGAGGATGGACCCAGGCAGGGGAGAGCAGTGGCTTTGTCAGTACCAGGCACTGGCCTCACTCTTGTGCTAATTCAAACAGGGTGTTGCTGATACCCGACTGTAGCCGTGCTGCTCTGGCTGCTGCTCCTCCTGGGAGCTCTGGAGGGTGAGTGCTGCCCAACACAACGAGGTTAAAGATGCTCCTGGCTCCTTGGGATGGCTGGGATGCTTCCTGGGAAGCTTGGCTGGTGTTCATCTGGCCCCGGCAGACCCAGAAGTGGTGGCTGTTGTATCACAGCACTGATAAAGCTGTAAGGAACTGAGTGGGCAGCCTGTACCTCGGCTGTGGTTTCTGGTCTCCCGTGGGATCTGTCCATTCCCTCCCAGCCTCTCAGTCACAAGGCTGCAGGAAGAGGCACATTCTTTTTGAGGAGCTGTGACCAGCCTGCACCACAGCCCTCTTTGTGTATAGCTTTGCTCCTCCACTGTCCCCACCACTGGTCTCAGGCCTAGCAGCCCCTCTGTGCTCAAACTGTGATGGCATTTTGCTGCTCAGTCTCTACTGCAAAGCCCTGGCCTCTTCCTTGACTACAGACTGGCTGTTCCCAGGCACAGCGGCCACCCCAACTGCTGGTTACACTGAGAAAGGCAATGCAAGTGGCTGCACACACTCAGCCAGAGGCTCAAATATGTTTTGCACTCAGCTGGGCTGAACCCTGCCCTGAGTTGCAGGGGTTTTCCTCTGCTTTTGTGTTCAGCAATCCCTTCCCCTCTGCTGGTGGGATGGGGGATGCCCTGATAGGTACCCAGCAGCCAATGCCCTCCTCACCCTCTCCTTACGGGTCTGCACTACTTTCAGCAGCAGCACAGCCCTAAGTGAAGCCCTAAGGATACAGCCAGGGCATTGTACCACAGCTCTGAGAACAAAGCAAGCTTGGGGAGAGGGTGGGCTCAGTGCTGGGTGGGAAGGATACAACCTTAAGTGAGTGGATATGTTATCTAAACCCCGGGAAGTGCCTGCAGCAAGGTGTGTCCAGCCAAGGAGACCAAGATCTCCAGCCTGAGTGTCTCCTGAGCATTATTTGGCAAGTGGTTTCTGCCTGTCACATTTCCCCTTGCTGGCTGTGCCTGCTGTGGCATTTTCCAGCCCTTTCCTGCCATGGTCCTAATGTCGGTGTAGTGACGACAGGGACAGAGTTACTGTTTGTCCAGGGGCACAGCTCAGGGCAGCAGGGCAGGTCTTCCCCCTGCCTCCACCCTGAGCCATTCACAGGACCAGCCCTCCCAGGGCTGGGTCTCTGCACAGGGCAGGCAGGAGGGAGTAGGAAGGGTCCTGGCTAAGGCAAGGTGGGGTTTGGAAAGCTGGGATTCATGCCAGTAGCCTTGAGCTAATCAAAGAGGGGAAAGGAAAACTACCTCTGGACTGCCTCTGAACATGGGATTCCTTGGAGCAAGAAGGAAACAGGTAGTGTCTACTCTCTCTGGTCCTGCTCAGAGGAGAGTGGTGATCTCCAGTTTATACCAGTACCCCCAGCCTGTAAGGCAACTGGCCTTCCCAGGAGGGGATGTGCTTAGCATCATCCAGACAAAAAAGCAGGACTAAGCCCATCTGAGTCAGCCTCATCCTGTTCACCTACCTGGGCAGCTCCTGAGGGCTTCCCAGTGCTCCCAGTTCCACAGTGAGGGCTCTCCCTGGGGTCCATCTCCTCTCTCCCCATGTGCCTGGGAGCAGCTGTCCTGGTCATTCTGGCCCTGGGAAACCGGATGCATTCATCACCCCATGTCCTCTGGTGGCAGGACCTGCCTGTGGTGGCAGCCCTCCAGGCTGGGCTTTGGTGACACAGCTGCCATTATGTGCTTCGGTGTCACTGGGGCTGGGAGCAAGATGTTGGCCAGAACATGAACATTATCAGCTCCTCCTGCCAGCTGTCCTTTGCAGGCATTAGCTGCCAGCCCAGGCAGGGTGCCAGGCGGCTCTTAGAGAGCTCCTCTTAGAGAGACAGGTACCTCTGACCTGGCAGGGCTCCAGTGTTCAGCAGGAGCAGACTCCCCTGGGAGAGGCAAGTCCATACCCCCTCCTCCCACTAAAGCACTGGATGGATTCTCAGTGCCATGGTTGGAACTTGGGCTTTGCTGTTCAGGATGTAAAACGGCTTTTTCTCTCTTTGCATGGGTTGATGGTGCAGTTCTGTGCTGTGTGAAAGTGCACTGGGACACCAGGATTGTATGGATGGTTCTAAGGCAAAGGCTGGCAGGTGCCAAACCTCCAAGGTGTCTATCTGTCTGTCTGTCTGTCTGTCTGTCTGTCTGTCTAGGGAGGACAGGTCAGCAGGCTAGAGCGGTGACAGAGACATGAAAAGCCTAAACTGACATGTAGACACCTAAACTGCATGTTGTGTGACCTCCCTGGCTCCTTTGCCCATCTGTGCCTCCCTCAGTGGCACAGGGCCGCTGCAGAGTTGGGAGCTCGGTAGTGGAATTAATGCCAAGGTCTTCACACTTCATTCCAGCCCGCATGAATGGGCTCATTGTAGGGAACAGAGTGGTGGCAGCACGCAGATTACACGGCATCCTGGCAGCTCTGGCACCGCGCCATCCTGACCTTTGTGTCCCCGGCAGGGCAGCCAGGAGAGCTGACCTGGAAGAAGGCAGCTCTTTGCAGGGGAAGGAAGGGTACCCCTAAAGCCCAGGCCCTCTCTCTGAAGCCCTGTGGGACAGAGCCTGCCTGTCCAAGTAGAGATGCACCACTGCTGCATCTCAGCTCCTCCCGCTGCTCAAACACCTTTAAATTTGTCCGCACAAAATCAGGGAGAAAAAAAAAATCTGTGTTTGACCCCCTGCCCTGTGCAGCATGGTGACAGGGACCAAACACCTCTCACCCCACATGCCTCACAGCAGGTTGGAGACTACACCTGGGTTGTGTTTCATGGGGGCAGCACGGCCCTGCTGTCATGTGGGAAACCAATGGAAGTCAGCTAATTAGCATTAATTAATGTTATCAAGTGCTTTTCCAAAGAAATGTTGGAGAGCCTAGGACATCTTATCCCAAGCAGAGTCACTGGTGCAGTGAGGCAAGGGGATAAGGTTCTGTCCCTCCCTCAGGCAGTGACAGGGGCTGCAGGGACAGTTATTGGTGCTCTCTGCCCCATAGGCTGAGCTGTCAACCCCCAAATCCGTGTGTCCTGCTCTGCAGCTTGCTGTGTCCCCTGGCCATGCTGAGAGCCAGCCCACAGTACCAGGACAGCAAGGGGACACCACGGAAGTGACAACGGGAGCACAACTGTGTGTTGGGGTCTAAAGGCTTCCTCCCATTAATATCACCTCTCCCTGGGGCCAGGAGGGAATAAAGGATGTGGGGCAAAGGGGGAGAATTTACTCCCTCGTGGTTTGTTTTATACTTGAAGGGTCTGGTTCTCATCCACAGCTTGCAAAGTATTTCCTGCCGGCCAGCTGCCAAGGAAATGTGGACCAAAAATAGCCCAGTGCTTAGGGGGTGCCATGGCATGACACAGTGCCTCCCAGGTGTGACGTGGCCTGGGAGCAGCAGAGCCCAGGGGACAGAGGATGTTTATGGGGAGCAGTTTGTGCCCTAGCAGCAGGGGAACAGGCCCAGGCAGAGGTAGAACTCACCGCTGTGGGACTGCTGTGGGGAGATGTCCACTGACTCTGCTTCAGGAATTGTCTTCCCAGACGCTGAAGTCATGGCTTTGCTTTTGCCTTTTAGGACATGTCTCGAAAGCATCACACCTGGAAGGAGCAGGCTCCTTGGCTGTCCTCCTTGGTGAACGCTGTGGGGACTGGTGTGCCTGCCAAGGGCTTCCCTGTGGGCACGGAGGGGCAGGTGGCGCGCTGGAACCCCCCCCGCTGCGGCGTGCCCGACCTCCCGGTGCTGACGGACGGGCAGAGCGGGCGCAACCGGCAGAAGCGGTTCGTCCTCTCCGGCGGACGCTGGGACAAGACCAATCTCACCTACAAGTAAGAGAGGCCCCAAATGGGAGTCAGGCCGGTTTGCTTTTCCCTCCCCAAACCTCTCAGTCCCATGTTCCCTGGAGCACTGCATGCTGTGAGCTGTGGGGAGCCACATGCCGAACCACCAGCAGGGCTGTCCCCAGCACTTCCACATCCCCTCCCGTGCTCCATAAACACTGCTGCCCACCCACCCTGCCCCAGCACATTCTGCACAGCCATTGCACCAGCCCTCGGTCAGCTCCGCACCGACACCCCCGTGCACAGGCATTCACTTCTCTTCATCAAACCCCTGACACGTGCCAAGCTGAGCCTCCACCACCAGCCCTCTCCTGCTGCGCCTTTGCCTCCCCAGCCACCCCGTGGTGGGCTCACCTCACAGTTTATTTTAAAAAGATCTTTTTATTCAGCTGTTGTTGATGTTTCCGTAAACACGGCTTCAGTGCAGAGTTTTGTCCAAATCACCCCACACGTTCTCAATCGTGAATCTACTCAACAGGCTGGCAGGAGGGTTGTGCTGCCTCCCCAGCTGCCCTCAGGAGTATGAGTGGAGAAGTGAGCACTCTCGTATGGAACTTGACAGCATGTAAATCATCTTCTGTTTAATTCAGTGCAGGAGACAGTTCCTCACAGCATTAGGAGGCTGTAGATAACAGAAAGACTTCCCCCTTTTTTTTCTTTTTGGTCAACAGTGTTAAAGAAGGAAGCAGAGCAGAGCCTAACATAGAGCAACGCTGTTGATGGAAGGGAAAGAAACCTCCCTTTCAGTCTGCTCATATTTTAGGAGAGCAGAAGAGGTGACAGATGCTCTGAGTGAGCCCAGGTTTCCAGTGGCAAAAAATGCAGAGGTTGAGAAGAAGGAATCACAACACATCATTCCCTGGAATCTCTGTGGCAGTGGCCTCCTAGGGGACAGACCTGGGCAATGCTGTGGTACTTGACTCCAGAACAACACAGAAAGCAAAGCTCTCCAGGGAACTCACCTCTGGCCCAGCAGCCAGAGGGTTTCAACACTGATGGGATTTATCTGCTGCTCATGTTGCTTGGTAGAGGGTGCTTGTATGGATTGGAGATGTTTTGGTGCTGAGAGTGGCAGCCCCAGTGATGTGGATCCTAGAGCTGCTGTTTTCATGACAGCAGTGTCTGCAGGACAGCAGCTGCTCATCCAGTGTCTGTTGCCTTCCAGAATTGTCAGGTTCCCGTGGCAACTTGTAAAAGCTAAAGTGAGAAGGACCATAGAAGAAGCTTTGAAAGTCTGGAGCGATGTGACCCCGCTGACCTTCACTGAGGTGCAGGAGGGACGGGCTGACATCGTCATCGATTTCACGAGGTGAGCATGGTGGGCAGCAGCACCCTCCTCCCAGACAGAGGAGCAATGCCCTAACCAGAGCAGAGCTGCCAGCACATAACTTAGGCTCTTAAATGTCTGCTCATATTTCAGACGCTGGGATCTTCTGGGGTTTGTTGTTTTGGTTTTTTTATCAGTTGTGGGCTGCTTGGTGTAAGAGCAGTTGCTCCACACTGGCTGTGCACAGCACCATTACTGATCATTCATTAATTTTCCTGGTACATTTACATTTCTCTGCCCACAGGCTGCTTTCTTAAGCGTTTGTTTTGACTTTCCATCTTCGGGTCCTCCATCCTGTCCCTTGACTGAGCAACGTAACTGTCTGCACAAAGACAAATACAGTTTCTTGGTTAAGGGAATCTTGGCTCCAGGCCTGAAATTCCCTTTTGGCAAAACACGCACTGGGGCAAAGACTTCCCTGTGCTGCATGTTTGCACAGAATGAAGGAAGGCAGTGGAGGCTGTCCAAGCAGTGATGAGATTTGCATGCTGTGTATTTGCCTGTGCCTCCTTCGGCTCTCTCAAGTGGCCGCATCTCTCATGGGTTTCCCTCATTAGTTGTCAGTGGCTTGGCTTGAGTGAGGACCTGAGAGTTTGGCCGGGTTTGCTGCCAGCTGCCCCTCCACATCCCCCCACCAAGCAATGCTGACTTAATCTTGGCTTCAGCAGTCAGATCCTTAATTCTTTAGACTCTGTGGTCAGCTTTGGGCCGAAAGCTGAACAGGGGGAGGGGAGAAACATTCCTGAGAAAACATAAAAACTCCCCAGGGCTTGGTGTGACCGAGCTCTGCTTCCTCAGTGCCCTGATGCAGAACCAGGGTTGTGGCAATCAGAAGGGCTCCGAGCAGTTGATCTGACCTGGTAGAATGAACTTGGTATGAGAGCGAGAGCTGCTGTCTCTTTGCAGTGGGTCCCACCTTTGGCCTTACAGCACTGTTCACTGGAGGTACATGGTCTTTGTCTGAGCTGCAATGTGTCTTCCCTCCAGGTACTGGCATGGAGACAACTTGCCTTTTGATGGGCCCGGAGGGATCCTGGCACACGCATTCTTCCCCAAGACACACCGGGAGGGAGATGTCCATTTTGACTATGACGAGACCTGGACGATTGGGAACAACCTGGGTACGGTTCTGTTTCAAGGGGAGCTGTGGATGCTCCAGGATGCTTATCAATACACTTGGAAATTATTCCCTTCTGGTGTGAACAGGGACCCTGTAAAACTGAGAGGCAACAACTATTTTTGTAGCATGCACTGTCATCTCCGACCACTTACAAGCCTCCTGTTACTATTCAGGTCTTTTCATCTTTCAGCCACAGCAGAGCCTGTGTCCAGCACCAGGACTCTGGCTTCCCAGTGCGACTCCTCCTGTCTGGGGGGAGCAAGAGACATGGCTCCTCTGCCCAGCCACGTGCCCTGCCACTTGGGAATCACACCCTGCATTGGTAGGAGTCATTAGAAATAAAGCAGGGAAAGGATGAAGGAAAACTGAGGCTCAAGCACTGGGTGACACAGTTGTCTTCCAAGGGACAGCCTCAGCCCCGGTCCCTGCATGCATTGTTCACCATCTGCTCTCAAACAAGTCCATAAAGGGAAACCACCCAGGCTCCAGCTCTGTTGCCGTGGCCTGGGAATGCTCTGACCGTAAACAACACCACATCCAGTCAAGACTCTTTTTTAAATTTTTGCTAATAATAGATCTAAGCTGGTAGCTCTTTGCTCGGGCACTCAAGGTCTGGTGTCACAGTATCTCATGAGATACTGCAGTACCGCCTGGGACCATCTGGATCAGTGCCCAAAGCATCAGTTTCTGGAAGACCCACCAAAATTAACCCAGGTCAGCTCCTCCTCCTCCTTCCCAGTTTATCTACAGGGACAAAGAGACAATCACAAAGCCCTAGTTAACCCCCTGCCTCTCCAGGGCTTCCCAGTATTTTGCCCATGCCAGTGGGCTTCCCTAAAGCCCACGTCATTGTCAGCTCTATGCCATCTTGACTGCGTGGGGCACAGGACTGTTGTGTCTCTGACTTTGCTCATGCCAACCCAAAATAAGAACCACAGAGCATTGGAATTCTTGCAGAAGCAATTCTGTTCCTGAGGGAGGGCTCGGCTCTGTCACTTTTCACCCTCTGTTGGGGTTGCCTGTGTTGTTGAAGAATTTCCTACATTCTCCTATAAAACAGTGTTGGAGGCAAAACAGGAACTGAAAATGGACACCAGTTCCCAACAGAATGCAGCCCTATTCCATGGCACCCCCGCCCCCGCACACACATCATCCATAAATAGATGTTGCAAAAGCTCTTAGGAGCTAATTGCCATTACTATGCTGAAAAGAGCTTTATGATATAAACATGGATAAATCCTTGACTCAGCTTTCAGTGAGACAGGGAAATCCTCAGCCTCATTTTACAGACAGGAGAGCAGAAGTGTGAGGAGGGCTAAGGTGTGCCCTGGGGTCACCCCAGGAAGTGGGACCCCACGTGGAGACCATCCATGAGGGACACAGGGATGGTCCCCAGCACAGCTCCTTCAGCTGTGCTGCTGTGCAGCTCCCCTGGAGAACCTGACAGCACAGCTGAGCTGCCAGCACTGGAAAGCATCAAGTGAGGAGCCTGCCAAGCTAAACAGAAGTGTCTGAAAGTTTGTAATAAGTCACTGACACAGAAATCCCACTTTCTCATCTGACCTAGATGTGTTGATTTAATCAGGTCAGTGCTGTCCAAACTCATGGCTTACACGTAAAACTGACCAGCGGAGGAAAACAGGGGCTCACCTTCCCCTCCGTCCTTCCCAGGCGTTCCTCCCAGCTGTATCCCCCTGTCCCACCCGGTGCTGGTGCTGAGAAGTGACCTGTTCCCCTGGAGCCAGCAGGGAAATCCTGCTTGGAACAGCGAGGCTGGTTGACTCACATCCCTGCTGTTCTCATCACTTTGGCTGCAGCTTGGAGGATTTCTGGCTGAAGGCAAGTGAATGAATATGCTGGGACTTGTCAACAAACAGCCTCCACTCACAGGGAAATTTATCAGCTTCAAAAATGATCCACTGAAAGCTAAGCAAAACATGCCAAGTGATATATTTTTGCATACTGAATTCCACTTCCCCCCCCTCTCCTTTTCTAGATGCTCCAAGGTCATGTATTCCTAAAACGTGATCTCCCATAAATCTACTTGAGTCTGGCAAGGAAGTGTCAGGCCTTGACACTGGATCATTTTTTATGAATTTATTTCTAAATGTCACCTTCTTGACACAGTCACCACACAAGCAATAAATGAGCTCCCTCTGCTGTCTGTGTGACAACAGCCATTACCAAGTGTTAATTCTAGAGAGTTCCCTCACTGACACTGGTATCTTCCACAATGGATGTGACCTCAATGGGACAGAATACACTGCAGTTGTGGCCAGCAACTGCTGCAAGGCTGGGTGGACAAACACCAAACTTACCATCCCACCACCCACATCTGTAGGCCAGACTTCCTTCTCTGTTCAAATTTTTCCTTCCCAAAAATTCATGAAAACCCCTTTCTCCCTGGTAGCCCATGAGGTAGCAGGAGCCTCTGACAACAGGATTACAAAATTATCAACATTCCCAGGCTGATACCCGAGTGTGAATTCACTCATGGTGCCCCTGAATCCCTTAATTATGCCCTTTGACTCCTTAGAAAAAATACAGGACAAATTTGGGAACAACAGCCTGTGAGGATGGCAGTAGAGACAGATTTCTCTCTCCCCTTGTTGGACTCCTGCAACACACCTCGGTGCACTGTCCGTGGCTGGTAACTGGTAGGAGTACACCCAGGAGGCAAAAGCACATAAACAGATAAAAGCATTTCCCATCTTCTCCCATTGCAGGCACTGACCTTCTGCAAGTGGCTGCTCATGAGTTTGGCCACGTCCTGGGCCTGCAGCACACGGCTGTCTCCAAGTCCCTGATGTCTCCTTTCTACATCTTCCGCTACCCCCTAAGCCTGAGTGAGGATGACAAGCAAGGTATCCAGCACCTCTATGGGAAACCCTCACCGGATCCTGACCCAACCCCAACGCAGCCAGCAGAGCTGCCCCAGCCAGACCTCGAAACAAACGAGATCACCAATGTGGAGGTGAGTGAACAGCCCGTCTGCATCCTCCCCTGGCACCACGGCTGGGACTGCCCTCACCCGTAGGCCTGTTTGGTGCCTGTCTGAGCCAGGCCCAGACCCCACAGCTGGCCTGGGATATGCAGGGAGGGGATCTCTGGGCAGCACATGCCCAGCCAAAACTGGCTGAAAGCAGGGTAGTTGCCTGGACACAGGGAGTTCCCCTCTGCTGAACCCAGCCTGGGTGAGGGGAGTCCCATGAGTCCCAGCCCCTGACAAGCCATGCTTTGGCAGGACGTGCAGCCCAACGCCTGCCACACGGCTTTTGACGCCGCCTCCACCATCCGAGGGGAGCTGTTCTTCTTCAAGTCCCGCTACGTGTGGCGGCTCCGAGCTGGAAGGCTGCAGGACGGCTACCCTGCTCTGGCCTCCCGTCACTGGCAGGGGATCCCCAGCTCTGTTGATGCCACATTCGAGGACCCTCTGGGCAATATCTGGTTTTTCCAAGGTAAGAGCTGGACTGGGATCAGAAATGCACCTCAGTTACTGAGGGGTAGTCAGGACCCAGCAAGTTCCTGGGAGAATAAATCTTCTAGACATCCCCAGCAATCCAGTGATCCTCGTTATTTGTTTCCTTCTCTAATTAAATTTTTAGCAGATATTGAGGAGGGAAGGAGAACAAGGGGTCATGTTTATTTTAGACAGAGCCACAATATCCTGTTCTTCTTCCCTGGAACACAAACGTTTGTTATGAGCCTCTGACCTGGTAATGCTGCTGGCAGGGGAGAAAGAAGGAAACATTTGCTCCATCTTCCCAGCTGTTGTGGGAAGCACTGTGCCAGAAGAGAGCCCCAGCAGCTTTCCTGGCTGTGAAACTCCTGTGCTTGTGTCCCCAGAGCCCTGCTCAGGGGACGGAGCATCTTCTCTGCTCCTCAGAGACCTGGATGTGGAGCTTCTGTAGTACCCCATGATTAAATGAGCCTGTAGAGAGACCATGTGCAGAACCAGGCAACCTCCAGGCCACCACAGGGATTAAAAATGAAACCTCCTCCTGGTCATCTCTGGAGTTCAAGGCCAGCAACATATCCCATTTCAGCTCCACTGCTTTCTTTAATGTGGGGATGTGGAATGACATGGGTGGGCACATCCCGTCTACACTCCATGAGACCAAGTACCAAAATCACACCACATGGCTCTGCAGGCAGAGCTCCTGCATAAACACATTACTTAGCACCTGACCTGCACACGAGGATCTACCGTGCTGAAATTGGCAGGCTCCTGCCGTGAGTTAAAATGAGATAAGGAGAAAGTATTACATGCCCTAGGCTAATTACAGAGATTCCCATTTTAATCTAATCTGGAACTGTGCTCCCAGTCTCTATTTCAGCTTGGCAACTTCGTCCTGGTTTCTGCAGCTCACTCCTTTCCAGCCACATGCCCCCTTTGTGCCTGTGCATGCCCCAATGTTTTCCAAGTGCTGAGGTTGCAGTGTAGAGACTGGTCCCTCCAGCTAAGTCTTTTATAACTTCCACAAACAGAGAAAAGACAGCTGCTAAAAAGGAGCTTCTTTCTTCCACTGACACTCTCCAGACTGGACTGAGGTGGGAAGTCAGCTCCTTGCACTGACAGCATTTTGGGCACATGACAGTGAAAGTGTCCATGACACTAGTGGGGTGTTTGCCTCTCAGGCACAGCTTCCTCTGGGAGCTCTGCCAAGGCACCAGCTCCAGTTGCACAGTTCACTGCCAAATTATCAGACACCAAAGAGTTTCTGACACTTTGCCTCCCTTTTCTGTCTCCTCGCCAGATTCTCAATACTGGATTTACGATGGCGAGAGACGGGTATCTGGACCCACCCCGATTGTGGAGCTGGGCCTCCCTGCATCCCCTGTGCAGGCAGCTCTGGTGTGGGGGGCTGAGAAGAACAAGATCTACATCTTCAGCGGAGGCAACTACTGGCGCTTCAACCCTCACACGCGTCAGGTGGACAACATCTACCCCCGGGCCATGGCCGACTGGCGCGGTGTCCCGCAGGAGATCGATGCGGCTTTTCAGGATGAGCTTGGTCAGTGCAGCAGGGACATGGCCCGCTCTGGGCTGGGCACTCTGGCTGACACCACTGCCCAGCTGGAAGAACCGGGCAGATTTAGACATGTGGTAGCAGCAGACACGTCCCAGCCATAGCACATGTCATACAGTGTAGAGAGTGGCAGCTCTTTCCAGAGGGTAGGGAACTAAGGCTTCTCCCATGAAAGTGAGAAGTTTCATCATCATTAGTTGCAACAATCAACATATAAGTGTCTGATAGAAGTCAAGCATCTTACCAAGAAATGGTCACAGAGTCCTACCCACCTCCAACTGCTCCTGCCAAAGGAAGTGATGTAACACTGGGGACAGCCAGAGTGCTTGGAATGAAGGTGTGGTGAATGCCTCTTTCCTCCCAAAGGATGCAGTGAAACAACTCCCCACTGCTATCCAGATTCTGGGATAGCTTCCCCACAGTAACAGATACTCTGCAGCAGGACTTTGCAAGCTCCCTGTCCCCATTCAGGTCCTGGACATCCTCTGCCCTCTCAGGGCTGGGTCACTACATGGGTACAGCACATTTAAACCCACCAGGAAAGTAAAATAAAATCCATCCTGTTTACTCTTCCATCAAAACTAACACAGTACGAAAGAAAACTGAAAGACATAAGCCTGGTTTCAAGTGAAATCTTGACAGCAGCATCTCCTGCTTCTTCTGGCTCTCTTTTCAGTACTGCACATGCTGCAGAGTGACAGCTGGACAACACTGGGAAAGAACTCTGTACGTGTACCTTGTCTCTTCTAACCCTTCCTCTCTCATCCACAGGTTTTGCCTATTTCCTGAGAGGCCAAGATTACTGGAAGTTTGATCCAGTCCAGGTGAAAGTGCTGGAGGGCTACCCACGCCAGATCAGCCAGGACTTCTTCAGCTGTACACCTTCCTCCAACTCCTTCAGATGAGGGGCATGCCTGTGTCCTCCATGCTCCCCTTTTATCACCCTTACCTCCAGCAGCCACACAGAGGGTTCTCTCTGCCATTCTTGGCTTCCTTCCAGGCTCAGCATCTGACACAACATGTGCCTGTCACAACAAGTGACAAAGTTTGCTCCTCTCCAGTTCCAGCAGCCCCAGCTTCAGTTGCTATCACTGTAAAAGCAGCTGCCATGTTCTTTGCAGGCAAAAGAGTGGCCATACTCTTCTAGCAATAGCATCCCAAAAGCCATCAGGCCAGCCTGGAGTGGGATCATGCTCTCATAAATAACCTGGACCCCGTCCCGTAGAACTGATGCAATGGCATTTCCTATGTTTACATAGTTCACTACAGCAGCCCTTTGGTGCTCCAGACGCTGGCCAGGGAGGAAGGCTGCCCCAGCCCCAGCCAGGGGCTCTGAAGGACACTGACTGTACCTGCGGAGGGTGCGACGTGCGGCTGCTCCAGGGTCCCTTGGCCGGGGCAGCCACCAGGACTGCCAGGGCCCTGCCCAGCCCTACTCCCGTTTTGACGTTGTATCACTCGTACGCGTTAGGATTTTGTACCGATTTGTATATAGACAAGGGGCCCCTTCCCTCCCTCCCTCCCCTCCACGGTGCCGGGCGCCAGTGCTGGACACTGCCCCGCGCTCACCCGGGCGAGGTTCCCACCCCGGATCGCTCAGGATGCACTGACCGCTCCCGGACCGCTGTCCCCGGGCTGGCACCGCACACACCCGCCTCAGGCCTGTCCAGCCAAACCCCACCGGGCTGCGGCCACTCTCTTCCCTTTCCATTTTCCCACCCAGCGCAGCCCGGGTGCCCGGCTGGCGGCCCGGGATGCTCCGTCCGCCGGTGCCGCAGCGCGGGGGTCGCGGTGCCGCCGGCCCCGAGCGGAGCCGCAGCTGTGGGTGCAGCGCACACCTGTGCGGGGGGTGGGAGGGGGTCTGTCTGTATTTATGTGCCGCCCCGCGACAATAAAAGCCGCCTCTTTTCTACACTCGCCGCTCCTGCCGTGCCTGCCTCCGTCCCTCCCTCAGCGCGCCGCCCCTCCCTCCGCATGCGCCGCGCGGGGCCGCACTAGGCCGCGGAGCCGCCCGTTGTCGCCGCCGCCGCCGCCGGGCCCCGCTCCGCTCCCCGGGCGCGCCCCCCGCCCGCCGCCGCCGCGATGATGATGATGGCGCTGAGCAAAACCTTCGGGCAGAAGCCCGTCAAGTTCCAGCTGGAGGAGGACGGCGAGTTCTACATGATCGGCTCCGAGGTGCGGCCCGGGCGGGAGCCGGGCCCGGGCCGGGCTGGGGGGAATGCGCGGGGTTGGGGAAGGGGCGAGGGGGAGCCCGGCCGTGAGGGGGATCGGCCGGCACCCCCCGCGGGTCCCCTCGGCCGTGCCGGGGGACGGCAGGACCAGTGCTCCCAGTAAGGGCGCCCCCCGGACACGCTCGAGTACGCGGGGAGCGGGTCCCCGCCTGAGGCCCCGCTCGGATTTCTCGCTCAGGGGTTTGGGTTATTTCACGTTCTGCGAGGTACAGGATTCCACACATGGGCCTTGGGGTCAGAAACAGCACCAGAATCAGCCAGAGCGGCTCCTTCTGGCTTGTGCAGACGGGTCTGGCCAACCAACGCCGGCGTGCAGCGCTTTAGCCCCCCAGTGTCTGTGCTGAGACCGCTCTCCCGGCGGAGAGGACGTTCAGCCTCCCTAAAGACAAGCCTTTTTGAAGCACGAAATACCGGTCCTTTGGCACCATGGAAATGGTCACTATTGGAAACAGGAACAAATGTTGTGGCCCCCGCCTTGATGCAAAAGAGGAAATACTGGATAAATTAAATTGCCATCTGTACAGGGTGAGCAGGGACTGAAGACCCCTTGCTCTCTCATGTGAAATGTAAAGTTTGAAAGAAGAACTGTAACTGCAGTCAGTTGAGCTGTGAGATTGTCACATCAGGCGCATTGAGGGGGAAAAGGATTGCCTTTTTTACCTACTGTTAATTTCTGTCTGTTGATGAGCACTGTAGAGTGAAAGATACAATTAAAAATTAAGATCAAAAGAGCCTTGTCAAACAAGGAGTAGAAATCACATTGTGTGGGCGTCTGCCCGTACTACCAGTCTAAAAATTTGATTTCAGAATCTAGAAATAGTTCTGTTGTTCAGCAAGGCCTGCTGTAGCCTTCAGCACAGGTGAGGATCTTATGCCAGGAAGAATGGAACTGCTTTACAGATGGTAAGTAAATTTGAAAAAGGATTATTGGCAGCAATCACATTTTTCATGTTCAGAGGGTTTAAAACAAAATACAAGTCTCTGGGCATTTGCTGTATTCAAGCAATGTCAAAATAGCTCAGAGGTTCAAAGTAAAAACTGTAACGTGTCAAGAGAGCTGGGCATCTGGTTTGGTTTAGTTCTGACTGAGCACTGTGCATTGATGTGGAAATCGAACTAAAGAAAGGGTAAGTTGTTCAAAAATACATGCAAATGAATGGAGTGTTTTCCTATTAAATGGATTAATGCCAATGGATGGCAGGTTTTTTGTATAAGAGCAGTGAAATAAGTGATGATAAAAATTTTGTTTTCTGTGTTGCCAGAAAAATTGTGGTGCTGTTTGGTGCCAAACCCAGCACAGTCAGTCTTGTCACAAAAAAAAACCCAAAGCCAAAGAACCCTCTTAGGAGATTCCTGTCAGTGTTACAAAGAGATGAATTTGTTTCAGCTTCTGCTAAAAATCTCCTAAATGGAATACAAGGCCACATTTCCACTTCTCTTCTCGTAGGTGGGAAACTACCTGCGCATGTTTCGTGGTTCCCTGTACAAGAGATACCCCTCGCTCTGGAGGCGACTGGCCACGGTGGAAGAAAGGAAGAAGATAGTGGCCTCTTCACATGGTGAGAAGATGAGTAAACATTTTCAGTAGTGTTTATCCAAAATTTGGCCTTGGAAAACTGTCCCTGGCGATTCAGAGGCTTGTGCACCTCGAGGGCTGTGTGAATCACTCAGGCTGCCCCAGTGATGGAACCCCCTGCAGTGGTGGCACTGGTGGCTCCTGGTTCAGCCTGGCAACAAATATCACCTGATCAAAAGCGTTCTGAAATGGAAACACCCATCGTGGCATTCCTGGGATTGGCTGCATTGGTCACAAAGCAAAAGCCACATCTCCAGTGATGCTATATAATACTACTACTACTAATAATGTAATGATACTGTATTTCAGAAGAGTTTTATAGACAAAGAGGGGCATCATTGCCTCTTTTGTCAAATAGGCAGGAGTGTTGCAAGGATGCCCCATTGAAAATGTGCATCTTTGCTTAACTCCTGCAAGGGCTTAATGTTTATGGGTGCTACTGGTGTGAGTGCTATAGGGAGAATATTGGTATTATTTTTGTTAGGGAACTAACAGCAAGCAGTTAATTTCTCAGCAATATGACTTGTATGCTCTGTAGACTAAAGCATAAAAAAAGTCATGGTTTACTCTGGACTTATGTCTCCTTCCCCCAAATATCCTGCTGATTTTTTGCCTTTTTTTTTTTTCCCCCCTGACAGAAAATCAGCGGTCTCACAGTCCCCGAAGATGTAAGTCTTATCTGTGTGTTATTCTTAGCTGTGCTAGAGAAAGAATGTCCACAGTGACCTTTGGTGCTATTACAATAATATTAATGTCTAGTCCTCTTCCTCTGATCTCTCCCTGTGGTCGCCCTAATTGTGCATCCTGATCCCATGCCTAACTCCTCTTTCTCAGAGCCTTAGCAGGACTCTCCAGTGCAGATGGTCTCTGTCATTCGGTAAGAGCTGTCCTGAGGTTTCTCCCCCTTTTCCGACTCTTAACAGCTTCTCTATTGATCATTTGCTCTCTATTTCCAACCTTTAAGTTCACTGAGGATTTATTGTTTTCTGGGCTTTGTAAATGTCTAAGAGAAGATAGATGAAGCCCAAAGGAAGCTTGTAGCACTTGGTAGCCTATTTTAGTTCCTCCTGCAGTGTCAGAGAGGGCTTGTCACTATGTAGCCTGTTAATGTTACAGTGCTATGTAGCCTTTTTTCGTGTTAATTATTGGCCTCTTTCCTGGTGATAGATCACGGCTATACAACATTAGCCACCAGCGTGACTCTGTTAAAGGCCTCTGAAGTGGAAGAGATCTTGGATGGAAACGATGAGAAGTATAAAGCAGTGTCTATCAGCACAGAACCTCCTACCTACCTCAGGTAACCAGGGTTGGTGGGGGCCAAGCTCAGAATGGAGCTGCTTGGAAGATGTCAGCTTGGTCAGGAAGCACAGGCCATGGTGCAGGGGTTGTTTGCCAGTCTGATTAAACAGTTTGCAGTGTTGGGCAAACGGAGATCTCCAGAGCCTGAGGATTGGGTTACTGCCCACATACAACAGGAAATAAAACATAAGTGTTTGATGATACAACTTTTTTTTGCAATTACCGCATTCCATCTGTAGCAGATGTTTTGCAGAACACTCCCTGCACATACTGCCTTCTGGAGACCTCGCATTTCTCAGCAGTCCTTTTATAAAGTGTAGATAGAAAATCCAAATATGAACCTAGTATTTATAATGCTGCACCTGGATCCATATCTGATGGATAATTGTGAGCTGGAGAATGGGCTTCCCAGAGGCTGACGTGGAACATGAGTTCTTGGAACAGTCATGTTGATGGTTCCGGAATGAAAGAGCAGGAACTCATGATAGGACTTCTAAGTTTAAAGTTACGCCATTCCTTACACAGAAGTGGTGCTCAGGGTCTGCAGTTTAACATCCACTCTCCTTCCTCAGAGAACAGAAGGCAAAGAGGAATAACCAGTGGGTGCCGACCCTGCCCAACAGCTCTCACCACCTGGATGCAGTGCCGTGCTCAACAACCATTAACAGGAATCGCATGGGCAGGGATAAGAAGAGAACGTTCCCTCTATGGTAAGACAGCGGAAACAGTTCGCAAAGTGATACATTACCAGGGTGGTGCTGATGAGTTAATGTAACATTGTGATTCATCTCTTAATTTACAAAAGACCTGCAGGTTGCCAGTTTGGAGGCTCTTAGTTAAATTGTATGCCTTGAGGGTCTTCCTTACAGCACCCAGCCAGGGCTCAGAGAGGAGGCTTTCCTCTAGTCAGGAAAATGGTTCATTCTTTTCCTGATGAATTCCTTCTACTTCCTGCTGATTTGCTGAGCCGTTGTCATTTGAGGACCCTCTCTGTGAAGGACAGGCTGCCTCTCACCACCATATTCCAGTGACTTTGATCTACTTTATTCAGTGGAAAGTGTTGCTGGGGCTCATGACTAACTTCTTTCCATTATAAAACTTGAGACAACCAAGATAAATGTAATCCTGAAAAGCTTCCTTGTTTTATTTGCAAAGATGTGTTATGAAAGGTGTGATAAACTGGTATTGGTAACTTTTAGCCCTGTAAGTTTGCATTGAGGAGTCTGTCTATAGACAGTTGGAATATGGGGATTGCTTCCAACAAACAATGCCTCCCCTCTATGGATGCCAGATGTGTCATGTGCTAGTTGCATATACTCTGTTGCTCTTCCTTTTAGCTTTGATGACCATGACCCAGCAGTGATCCATGAGAATGCATCCCAGCCGGAGGTTCTGGTTCCAATCAGGCTTGATATGGAAATTGATGGGCAGAAACTCAGAGATGCATTTACGTGGAACATGAATGGTACGTAGCAAAGAGAGTTCCTGAGGCTAGAGAGATACAGTTGTATCCATCACCAAATATGAAGAGAGAACAAGCAT